AACTGTTAGCTGGGGCTATTAATATTGTCATCTATATTATTATTTTTTTTAAGATTTTATTTATTTATTTGAGAGAGAATGAGAGAGCATGAGAGGGAAGAGATTCAGAGGGAGAAGCAGACTCCCTGCTGAGCAGGGAGCCCGATGTGGGACTCGATCCCGGGACTCCAGGATCATGACCTGAGCCAAAGGCAGTCGCTTAACCAACTGAGCCACCCAGGCGCCCCTATCATCTATATTATTATGGTTTATTGCCTTGCAGGGTAGTTGTGAGAATGAACAAAAATGTGTATATTTTATACATTAGCACAGTGCCTGGACATAAGGGGTGTGTGTATTTTTAACACGGGGCAAATAAATATATATGTACATATGTATCTGTTTTTTAAGGGAATTAAGATCATGTTCTACATACTGTTTGGCAACCTGATTATCATCTGTAAGACATCTTAAGCATTTTTTCTGTAACATTAATTATCAGGAACATTGCACAGTGATGGTGGTAGAGCAGCAATGCACCCTGGAAGAGATGAGGGTCCTCAGGCTGTAACAGCTGTGCAGACAGGCTGGGGCAGTGCAGTCTGCCTGTTATCACGAAGTGGTAGGATGTCCAGTGTCACTTGGTGGCCCTGAGCCATCAGACAGGCCACGTCAACTCTGAGCCTTCCTACCTGAAGTATTCTCTTGAGGATTAGAAATAATTTAAAGTGACAAATCCTGGGAGAAGGGGCTCAACAAATATTAATTGTTCCCGATGTTTTGAATTAATCCAGTGGTGTCCATGGTGAGGTGTGTGCACCAAGACCCATTGAGGGCAGAAGAAAATGTCAGAACTTGAGTTTCTGTTTATTTTTTTTTAAAGATTTTATTTATTTATTTGACAGAGAGAGCGAAAGAGCACAAGCAGGGGGAGCAGCAGAGGGAGAGGAAGAAGCAGGCCCCCTTCCGAGCAGGGAGCCTGATGCGGGACTCGATCCCAGGACCCTGGGATCATGACCTGAGCCGAAGGCAGATGCTTAACCATCTGAACCACCCAGGCGCCCAAGTTTCTATTTATTTTTAATCTCACTCTTTTACAGTCTCTATTTTGTGTGTACATTTAAATATATTAATACAGTAGTGCTGTCTTTTAATAAGATAAAAATTTGTAACTCGAAAGTACATGCTTATATTCTTTTTACTGGTAAGAATGTACAAAATTGTATCTAATAGGGCTTTATTTCCATCTGGTGGTTAGTTGTGTGGTATGAATTCCTCCTGTAGAGTAGATTGATTTGACCTAACTTGGAACCTTAGTCTCAAAAGGAAAAGCAGTAGCTTGCCAGTCTCACACTGCATATTTAGTCTAGGATATCTAGAAGGGATTGCTCAAGTAATAATAGTAACAGTAGGAATAGTAACATCACATCGTATTCTACAAAGCTTTCTAGTGCCTCATAAATAATAATATAGAAACAAGCTTAGGCAATAGAATAATTATGATTATAATCAATAGGTATAATAATAGATAATTATAAATAATGATTTTCAAATGCAGCTGCTTCACATGTAATCACAAAAGCATTAACCATGGTATTATACACTTACAAGGGAAAGAGAAAGTTGAGGTTTTAGTAGAGCAGGAAAACACTAGCTTTAAAAATGAAATCTGAAACCATGAAAAGAGGTTCTGCGTCCCTAGTAATCAGGAATGATTACTGAATGCAGATTAGCTGCAAATGCAAAGTGAAGCAAAGTACAACTTCTTGCCCATCATATGGGGCAGAAATGTTAGTCTGATGATTATCCAGGGTTGGTGAGGATGTGGGAGTGCTCTGGGGCAGCAGTATAACTCGGTGCAACCACTTTGGAGGACAGTTTGGCAGCATTCTCAAGAGAGAAAAATGTTTATGCTGTTCACTGTCTCTGGATATGCCCTCAGGAAACACTCTTACACAAAGAGGCGAGAACCAGCATGTTCATTGCAGGACCGCTGTTAACAGCAAAGGGTTGGAGACAGCTATCATTTGCGGAACGGTTAAAAAAACTGTGACTTTTTATTTTTTTTATTTTTATTTTTTTAAAAGTTTTTATTTATTTATTTGAGAGAGAGTGAGAGAGAGAGAGCCCAAGAGGGGGTAGGGTCAGAGGGAGAAGCAGACCCCCCGCTGAGCGGGGAGCCCGATGCAGGGCTCGATCCCCGGACTCCAGGATCATGACCTGAGCCGAAGGCAGTCGCTTAACCAACTGAGCCACCCAGGCGCCCAAAACTGTGACTTTTTAAAAAATTAAAGTATAATTGACATACCATAAACTTCACAGTTTTTAAGGTGTACAATTCAGTGCTTTTCAGTATATTCACAGGACTGTGCAACCATCAACCACTATCTAATTACAGAACATTTTCATCACTGAAAAAGAAACCTCTACCTATTAGCAGTCACTCCCCATTCCCTCCTTCCCCCCTCCCTTGGCAACCACCAACCTACTTCCTGTCTCCGTAGACTTGCCTATTACATACATTTTGTATAAATGAAATTGTACAATCTGCGGCCTTTTTTTATAACAGATTTATTAAGATATAATTCATATATGATACAAGTTATCCATTTTAAATGTACTATTCAGTGGGTTTTAGTATATTCAGAGTTGTACAACTATCACAACAGTCGATTTTATTAGAAAATTTTCATCACCCCAAAAAGGAACCCCATTCCCTTGAGCTGTCACCCCCCCAAACCCCTCCTCCCCAGTCCAAGGCAACCATTTCTGTCTCTAGATTTGCCTCTCCTGCATGTTTTGTACAAATGGGTCACAAAATAGGTGTCTTTTGTGCCTGCCTCCTTTCACTCAACACGTTTTCAAGATTCATCCACGTTGAGGCATAGATCAGTGCCCCGTTTTTTTTAATTGCCAGGTATTATTCCATTGTGTGAATGTGCACTTTGTTTCTCCATTCATCAGTTGATGAACATTTGCGTTGCTCCCACCTTTGGACTACTGTGAATAATGCTGCTAATGAACACCCATATACAAATTTCTGTTATGAGCGTTTGTTTTCTGTGCTGGGTCATATGGTAACTCTCTTTTACTTTTTCAGGAACTGCTAAACAGTTTTCTCACAGTGACTGCACGCATTCCCACCAGCAATGTATGAATAAGGGCTCCTGTTTCTCCATACCCTTGCCCCACTTGCTTTCCTGTCTTTTTATGCTAGCCATCCTAGGGAGTGTGAAGAGCTATCTCATTGTGGTTTTGATTTGCATTCCCCTAATGATGTTAAGCATCTTTTCATGTGCTTGTTGGCCATTTGTATATCTTCTTTGGGGAAATATCTATTCAATGTGTGGCATTTTTATGCTATGCTGCAGAGCTGTTCAAAGGAATGAGGCAGATCTATATGTAATAATCGCTGAGTGCATCTCCCAAGATTTAACACTGAGCAAAATAGCAAGTAGTAGAATGATGCATTACCGTACTGTAAATTTTATATAAACACACACTCAGGACTGTGTGGCTAAATATAAACATGTAAGAGGATAGAGAATGATCTGGTAGAATATTTCCCAAACTTATAAAGATGGTTGGTAACCCGGGAGCAGGAAGAGAAAGAACTAAGGTGGGAGTGGGGGGTGGGATCTCATCAAAAGGGACTTTTGTCTTATTTATAACATTTTACAAAGTACTCATGAGCTATTTGATTAATAAAAAATTGTATTAAAAAGTCCTTAAAATGTATACACCATTTGAAAAGAAAAGAAGAGAGAAGCAACTGGGGAACCCTATCTGGAGAGGTTAGAGACTTCCCTCAGAAGTCTCTAATTAGCATTAAACGTCAATCAGTGCTTTCATGCCACCTGGCAAGTGAATGGACAACTTCTTTTCCGAAAATAGGTTCATTGACTCTTTACAGCCCAAATCTATTTTGTCTTGGTCTCTTTTTCAAAGTAATTTTATTATTGTTTTAATAATATGTAACAGTTCAAATAGTACTTTGAACTGTTTATAAAGTTTATAAAGGTTTATAAAGTTAAACTTATCTCCTCACCTGAAACGCCCTTCCCCACAGAAGTGAGTCTTCCGTGCACTTCCTTTTCCTGATAAACTTCTCTTCTAGGATCGTCTCCTCGCCCCACCCAACAAAGTGTGTTTCTTCGGCTTTCTGCCTTTCTGGCTTTCTGTTGTTGATGGGGAGAAGCTCCTTCCTCTGTAGTGGGGAGGGAAGGCTTTGTCTTTAAGAGTCTATGACCGTGGTCTTCAGGCTTGCTTTGTATAACCCCCTACAGAGATTGTGATTTAGTAGGTCTGGAGTGCTGCTGGGGTGTCTTTATTTTTATGAAAAGCTCCCATGGTGATTCTGATGAGTCAACAGGGTTAAAAATCATTTGTCTAGTGAGTAACAGAGCCATCATAAACTGTCCTCGTGATGCTTCTTTGAGAATTATTTTTGGTAGGTTCTTTATGAGAGAGTAATGAGCCTGTCAGCCTTAAGGAAACATGCCTGAACTCAGATGGTCTGTTTTGTTCCAGGAATTTCACAGAATTTTTACTTTAGGTTATTTTTAGCATTGAGGTTTTATCTCCAACTGAATACTCTGCATAGAGCTGCCATCTGAATCTAAGAAAGCGATCTTGGATTCTTTTTTGAAAATGGTAAGATTATGCAGTATAGGGCCAACTTAGTTCGTGGGCTTTCTGTCATTTCACATTGAAGATGGGCAGATGTAGCAAAACTGACAGGTGTTAAATCTTCTGTGCCCAGCAGACTATCCTTGGGTCTTGTTTTGTCAAGCTTTTTGTTTCCTAGCCGCACCCCACCCCGTTGTTGTTGACTTTATTATAGTATGCTTGCCTGAGATGCAACTCAGAACTTCACATTGGTTTCCATTATTAGGTTTTCAGACATAAAACTTGCAGAAATCCATAAAAGCCATTTAAAGACATAGTTTCTCTGGAATAATAAACCTGAGTAATCTTTCTCATATCTTAAATTATGTTCAATTTTATATTTTCTCTTCTAGGTATTCTCATGGGAGCAGTTATAAAAATTATAGAGTTCAAAAAATTGGCAAATTGGAAGGTAGGTTTTCCCACCTGTTGATTTTTGAACATACTTAAAATTTTTATTGGTTGTCCTTAATTTTATAACACTGATGGTTAGTTATGGTGGCTTATCATTACTTGACTCTCAGTGAAGTTTATATTGTCCCATTAATTTTTTAACATTCTACTGGATTAGGGTTGATATCTTTACATCTGACTTTTTTGAAAAAAACGTAAGTCTCACACTGCTTCAAGTTAACCCGGGAGCACTCAGTGTCATGTTTTGTTATTTATTTTAATTTGTATAATCTTAGAATAACCTGCTGCTGTCTGGGGGGAAGTCTCTAATTAGCATTAAACGTCAATCAGTGGTTATTGCTGACAGCTGAAGATAAAACGGATTTGTCCAGCACCGTAGAACTTACAGAATGCTTTCTACACTGTAGCTCATGTTGTCGTCATGAAAACCACATGAGGTAGATTGACCACATATTATCATCACTGTGTTTTTACAGATGAAGAAAGTGACCACAGAGAGGTTGAGACATGTCCAACATCACAGAGCTAGGAAGTGGCTGAGTTGAGCCTTAGGGCCAGATGAGCTGGCCCTGTGTATTCTGTATTCTCTCCACCATACACCATGCTGTCCTCAGTGTGTGGGTGTTCTTACCCTTGTGTTCATATAGTAGTCCTCATGTGGGCATCATCTTGTGGTACAAGGACTAACCGAAACTCAAATTTCAACTTGTGCATCCTTGGGGCGCCTGGGTGGCTCAGTCGTTGAGCGTCTGCCTTCGGCTCAGGTCATGATCCCAAGGTCCTGGGATCGAGCCCCGCATCGGGCTCCCTGCTCGGCAGGAAGCCTGCTTCTCCCTCTCCCGCTCCCCCTGCTTGTGTTTCCTCTCTCGCTGTCTCTCTCTCTCTCTCTGTCAAATAAATAAATTTAAAAAAAAACACACACACAAAAAAACTTATGCATCCATATTGAGTACAGAGATTTTAAAAGTGTGTAACAAAATTGATTGTGTAGAGGGCAGTAAGGTTCATTTCAAAATATTAAAGAATATTTTGTAGCTATAATTTAGCACATTCAAACCTCTCTTATCTTGATTCAGCTCCTAGGTGCTAGGATTAATTTACCTAGGAAACTGTAGAGTGTAAAATTTGCAAAACAAGCGACATGGTCTGACCTAAAACACAATTTGAACTGTTATACTTAATATTCAGGAAATATTGTACATATTAAATGAATTCTCAAAATACATGTTGAGCTCCTCCTATGATAGACCTCCCCTTAGCTGGGGAAGGGACGGGGCAGGCCCCACTGGAGCACATTGTGAATGATCTCTCTGGTCTACTACAACTGGTTAAATTTCATCACCCTCACAGTGGCTAGGTTGTAGGGCAGGGGACACAGACTGTAACCCTTTCTCTATTCCTGCATACAGCCTGATGTGTAGATAAAGCCTGCTAACACATTTTGATTTAAATCAAAATTTAACTGATCCAATTTAAAATCAGTCACTCAAAATTGGACCTGATTTTAAACAATTAAAAATTGTTTTATTTTAAAATATTGTAAATCTATATAAAATGCTGGAAATTGCACATAAAAACCTGAACTTCTAGCTTCCCTTGAAGAAACAGAAACTCTGTTAACATCAGGCCCACATGCCGCCCCACAGAGATTCAGCAGCTGTTCCTTGGGGGAATGCTGTGTCGCCCGGGGAGCCTGTGAGTTGGTGACCCTTGTTCTGAGCAGTGGGAGCCTAGGGGTGGGGCGGGGAGGTTGTCCTCCAAGTTTTGTATGCTTCAATTTTGTTGAATTTATTTTTCAGTGGACGTTCCTTTCCAAGTTAAATAATAGTAGTATATTTAATGGTACAGGCAAGTGAAGCAGAGTTGGGTGGTGAATGTAATTAAGCGCCCAAAGAGCCGTCCAGGCGATCTGGGCTTGACCTCAGAGGAAGGGGGCGGTTTCTAGGCCAGGATACTTGGGCCAGGCTTCCTGGAGGAACAGGTGTTTGTGGAAAGCTGGAGCCGAAAGCAGGACACCTGTTTGGAAACCGGGTGCTGCGGGAAGCAAGAGGAGATCAGAAAAAACAAGGAGCCTGGTGTTCTTTCCGTGCAGTTCTGCTGCCAGACTATCCCCCTGGGCCTGCCTTCCACCTGTATTGTCATATACTTATGTATTTATTTCTTGAAGCAAGTTGCTTTTTTATGTATATATATTTTTTGTAGCAGTTTTTTTTTTAAAGGCTTTGGTTGTGGTAAAACATAAAATGTATCATTTTAGCTATTTTTAGGTATATATTTCAGTGGCTAACTACATCTAACTACATTCACAATGGTGTATAATCATCACATTATCTATTTCCAGAACTGTTTTATCATCCCAGACAGAAACTCTGCCTAGTAAACTACTCCCCAGTCCCCCCTCCCCACAGTCTATTCTGCCTTTTTTTTTCAGTATTGTCTGTTTTTCAGTAGCCCCCTATTCTACTTTGTATCTTTATGAATTTACCTATTTTAGGTACCTTATGTAAGTGGAAACATTTGTCCTTTTGTGTCTGGTTTATTTTACTCAGTGTGATGTTTTTAAGGTTCATTCATACTGTAGCATGTGTCAGAATTTCCTTCCTTTTGTGGCTGAATAATACTCTTTTGTAGGTATATACCACACTTGTTTATCCATTCATCTGTTGATGGACCATTTCTACCTTTTGGCTATTGTGGATAATGCTGCTGTGAACACTGGTATATATACTATAGATGTTTATTTTAAAGGAGACATTATAATACCAGGTTATAATACTGTGGGAAACCAATACTGTTTTTATAAATAAATATGATAAAACAAAGTAGTGCAGAGGCCTCCTGAAGCCTCTGAGGTCAAGCTTGTTCTGTTGAAAAGGGAGATCAGCACATTGAAGAGAGGCTTTATACGCCCTCACGCCAGCCTGCAGTGTCTTTGACTTAATTGGGACTGGAAAAGAATCAAAGGGGGCTGACTTTCTCAATCTGGGGCATCAGTGGTATATGGCATACTGCTCATGTACCATCTAAAATCACCTCATACCATTTTGGGGACGATGTTGCCAGAAGGAACCTAGGATCTTTCTGTAACCCTACTCACTCACTCTAAGGTGGGACATTTCATTTCCTGTGGCTGCCGCAGCAAATTACCAAAACTGGGGGGCTTAAGACCACAGAGATTATTCTTCCATAGTTCTAGAGGCCAGAAATCTGAAATGAAGGTGTTGGCAGGGCCATGTTCCCTCTGGGGAGCAAATCCAGGCTCTGGGGGGAATCCATCGTTGGCTTTTGCTGGTTTTGATGGTCCCAGGTGTTGGTTGGCAATGGCAGTGTAACCCCTTTCTCATCTCTGTCTTCACATGTCCTCCTTCGCCGTGTGTGTCCTTTCCTGTCTCTTGTAAGGACACTGTCATTGGGTTTAGGGCCCACCCTGTTCTAGTATGTTCTCATCTGGATTCTTACATTACACCTTAATTACATCTGTGAAGACCCTGTTTTCACAGTAGGTCACATCTGGGGTTCCAGGTGGACATGAATTAAGCCTGGAGGACACCATGCAACCCGCTACAGGTGGGTTCTCTTTTTTCTCAGGGTGGGGTGGGGGGTTAGTTTCTGAAACCCCAAAAGAATCTATACAGCAGTCCCACTGCACAGATCCTGAGAATAGGTTGCCCCACAAAATAGAGATCGGCCCATTTCTTTTCACATGGTCCCAGTCTGAGTCATGAGCTTGTTGCATGGGCAGTTATTTTAAGATTTAATAAGGCATTTTCAGAAGTCATCATTTGCTTTCTATTTTGAGCCTTTGAATGTTATTTTAGTCTTTATGGTAACAGCTGTACATTTGTAAGAATACACTTAGCCATTCTTTTGAATAGGGATTTTGACAGGAAATCTGACTGTCAAGACTGTGGCATGAAAACTTTCATATGAAAAAGGGCCTAATTAATACTGCAGTTACTAAGTAGGCTTTGTATTACATGCAGCCATTTTGGATTTGAGGACCAATATGAATTTCCCCCCCGTACCTCAACAATTAGAGGTATTAATATACAGAATGAAATTATTATGTCATCCCTCTAAAGATGGCCATATTCTGGCATGGCAAGGGGCTTGCTTGATAGCCATGTCCCAAGTCACAAGGGCATCAGATGGAGACTATTCCATCATAGTCCCAGATTTAGGAAAATGGCACAGTTGTCTGTGACAGGCAGAGAAAAGGCAGGGCTGTTTTAAACATGTATAGGGTTTACTCTTCCTCTAAGTGGATTGTTTTAGGGCTTACTGTTACTTTTTCCCAGAGAATTTCAATTTGTGGGCTTATTGTTGAAAGTGTCCTATTTTAATTGAAATGTTTTCTGTATTAAAATTAACTTTCTTTCCTTAGTAAAGAATGAAAAGCAGGGGCACCTGGGTGGCTCAGTCAGTTAAGCATCCGACTCTTGATTTCGGCTCAGGTCGTGAGATTAAGCCCTACGTCGGGCTCCGTGCTGGGTGTGGAGCCTGCTTAAGATTCTCTTTCTCCCTCTCTCTCTACCCCTCCCCCCTCCCTTTCTATAAAAATTAAAAAAAAATAATGAAGAGCATATACTGTGTGTTTGGAAGCAGTTCATCCTGTTTCTTATGCTGGTCACCTTTTAAAATCACTTGTCCTACATTTTTTAATGCAGGTTTTATTACGTTTTTTGGTTTCTTCTGCTGCTTGGTTTTATCATCAGGTACTCTTTTAAACATTGCATGTTTCCACTGGGCCTAAGAGAACAATTAATTACTTTTGGCTCTTCACCGATGGATTTATTTCTTAACTACACAAATTTCCATGCTTCTGAAAATACCCATTTTATATTTACAGGAAGAAGAAATGTTTCGTCCAAATATGTTTTTCCTCCTCTTGCTTCCTCCTATTATATTTGAGTCAGGATATTCATTACACAAGGTAAGACTCAGGCATGCATTGGTGCTTTTGGTCTAGGTGGCTGCCCATGTTGGTAAGGCAGGCTTCCGAAAAACTTGGGTGTTGACCTAGCAGTGGAGGCTCTGCGCCGACACTCCGGGGGTGCACGTAGAAGCTGGACTGCACTGCCAGACTTAGGGAGAGGAGCAGACATACCTGGTTTCAGGCAGTGTGGCTTATTAACTAGTGTTTTCCGTAGAGGGTTGTTTTGCCTAGGAAGTGATGGCCTGAGTGATTTTAATTGGTGTACAGACGATTCATTGATTCCTCTTGTTGGACACAGACTGACACATGTAGGAGCACAGACTGTCCTGGGACAGCAGGGACATGTGCCTCAGGCCTTTTGATTCTCTCAGCTCACCATGTCAGGCCTTTCTCCTCCCTTGGGCCTCTGCCTCCTTCAGTGGGTCCCCTCTCAGTGTTTTGTCCTGGGCCTCAGCTCCCAGCTGATAGCCCCTCACCCCCAGTCTCCCTTTCTTCCTGCCCTTTCCCTGGCCCAGCTTCTCCTTACCAGACTGGAGCCTCATGCTTGTTCCCAGTTCCCCAGCCCCTTCTGGCCCATCACCTAGTCCCACAGTTACTCTGCCTATTCCTGGCTCCTCAGCTTGGAGAGTGGCCTCACTGTCCCCTGCTCACTTCCCTGCTCTGCCCCAGCATTTCTGGTCTCTTTCCTCCAGCTTCCAGTGAGACCCTTTTCTGCCTGGGCAGGAGCTTCTCACTTTTAAGCCAGTTTGTATGTATGTGTGTGTGTTTTGGGGCGAGGAGGGTTGGGGATGTCTTTTTCTTGTCCATGAGTTTTCTTTAAGTGTATTTAAGTTTTAAAATAAAAAGGTGGGGCGTCTGGGTGGCTCAGATGGTTGAGTGTCTGCCTTCGGCTTGGGTCATGATCTCCAGGTCCTGGGATCAAGCCCCACCTTGGGCTCCCTGCTCAGCTGGGAGTCTCCTTCTCCCTCTGCCTCTCCCCCTGTCTTGTGCTCTCTCTGTCAGACATTCTCTCTCAAATAAATAAATCTTAAGAAAAATAAAACAAAAATGTGATTCAACTTAAAATATTTGTAATACAGCAGTTATTTTGTGAATGTGATTAAAAATTGTGAAGGTTAGAAGGTGTGGTCTAGCCTCAGAGAGAGGAAAGAGCCTGGACTTTCAGAGAGATGTAGTCTAATCATGCGCTGCCCCCTACAGGTGTCTTTTGGGTAAAGTAAAAAATTAAAAAAACAAAAAACCCTGAAAATCCTACCTCTCAGGTTGTTTGAAGGTTTGCACTAGATGAAAGAATGTTTGCAAAGCATCACCCACCACACTAAATAATTGGTGGTCCTTCTTGTTATTATCTATTATTAATATAACCAGTGTTGTTTTTAATAGCTTATTAAGCTTGAGAGTTAAATTTGTCATGAGAGTTTTGGTCAGAACATACTAATTAAATCTTTAATTTTCCACCTTGATACTAAAGCATAAATATTCTAAAATGTTCAGTCCAGATTTTGTTTAAGCTGTTATTTTATTGTGCATCTATTCAAAGAAAAAGTGAAAAGGAAGTTTAACGTAAAAAAAAATTCCCAAGTCTTATAAATTATTACTGACCTCAGATAATTTAAAAAGAAACAGGCAGGAAGGAATTAAAAGTCAATGTCTTTCACTCTTTCATTTTATAAACAGATACTAAACTATAAGTAGATTGTGAAAATATTTCAAAACAGTGCTGAGATTGATTCAGTTTTTATTTAAAAATATGACACTTTGATTATTGTATTAGAGCATATAGAATTTTTATTTTCTAATTTTTTGGAGGGAGGAGAGAGAAACTTGTTCCAAAATTTGAGGAAAATAATAATTTCTTAGAAAAACATATGTTTGAAGATGGCTTTCCAGCAGAAAACGTAACAGTTTATGTGAAAGGGACTAATGTGAGTTAGAAATGTGAATGCAAAGACTTCTGTCCACTTCTTACCCTCCCCAAAGAAGACAGGAAGTCATCTCTGGGTGTCTTTAATATTGCTGTATTTGTTGATGTAAATTTGGACTTGGAATACAAATTTCAGTAAGATATGCATTAAATAGGCAACTATTGGTTCTTTAAAATTATTAATGTAATATAAAGAATAGGCCATTAGTTATGTCAAAGAGAGAGAAATTTGCTTTATGTAACAAAGGGAAGTTCTTGAATGTGGTAACTTGAATTTGGGTAAATTTTCAACATCCAGATTAATATTAACCAACTCCATAAATTATATCAGCATTAGATTCTTACAAACAGATCAAGACTTAATTTAATTTTTTTTTTTAAGATTTTATTTATTCATTTGACAGAGACACAGCAAGAGAGGGAACACAAGCAGGGGGAGTGGGAGAGGAAGAAGCAGGCTTCCCACCGAGCAGGGAGCCCGATGCGGGGCTCGATCCCAGCACCCTGGGATCATGACCTGAGCCAAAGGCAGGTGCTTAACGACAGAGCCACCCAGGCGCCCCTAATTTAATCTATTTTAACAACAAAATAAATCAGCTCTTTGCAAAGAAAAGCTCATAGATGAAAGCCTTTAGTTTAGAAAAAAACCAAATCATTGTGTTTGCCCTGAGTTATTTTAAAGTTCTTTGTGTGTGGAAGATTGATATACCAAAGTAATTGAATGTCACGTTATGGGCAGCCAAATCAGATTGCAATGAATGAAGCAAAGCAGCCCCCTGAAGGAGATGGGCTTGGTGGGACCGCCAGTGTTGAGCTGAGGACACGCTTTTGAAGTGAGCTTTAAAATAGCACTTTCCGGGGCACCTGGCCAGCTCAGTGGAAAGAGCATCTGACTCTTGGTTTCAGCTTGGGTCGTGATCTTGGGATCTTGAGTTCGAGCCCTGGGTCTGGCTCCACTCTCAGTGCAGAGTCTGCTTGAGATTCTCTCTCCCTCTCCCTCTGCCCCTCCCGCCGCTTGTGCGTGCATGCCCTCTTTCTCTCTCTCTCTCAAATAAATAAATAAATCTTCAATAAAATAAAATATCAGTTCCTGGGGTATCTGGCTGGTTCAGTCAATAGAGCATGCTACTCTTGATCTCAGGTTTGTGAGTTTGAGCGCCATGTTGTGTTTAGAGATTACTAAAAATAAATAAACTTAAAAAATATATATAGCATAAAATAGCAGTTCCTGTTGTCTATAGCTTGTTAGTTAAGAGAAAAGATGGATTTCCTTGTCTATGCTCACAATTAAGTGTCAAGGGTCCTTGGTGTTGTTCCTAAGTGGAGCCCACAGGATTCTAATAAATAGCTTTTTAAAAATTTTATGGAAATATGAAAGATGTTGCCATAGTACTAGGACTCAAGTATTTTCTCTTAAATGCTGTGAAGTATAGATGGAAATATATTTTATCTGTCATACTTGATGAAGATACTAACAGAGTAGAATAAAATTATTTTTTAAAGATTTTATTTATTTGAGAGAGAGAGAGAGAGAATGAGCAGGAAGAGGGATGGGGAGGAGGAAGAAGCAAGCTCCTCGCTGAGCCGGGAGCCCAACATGGGACTCAATCCCAGGACCCTGAGATCATGACGAGCCGAAAGCAGATGCTTAACCGACTGAGCCACCCAGGTGCCCCTAGAGTAAAATAAAAGTATTTGAAAGTCCTGCACAGCAAACAGGATTTTCTGATTATCTAACCTATTATCTTGACCTTCTTTATAATAATGCACCTTTTCTGGGGCACCCGGCTGGCTCAGTCAGTGCAGCATGTGACTCTCGATCTCAGGGTTGTGAGTTCAAGCCCCACGTTGGGTATAGAGATTGCATAAAGTCTTTAGAAGAAATTATGTACCTTTTTTTAATTAAATAAAAAATTACAGTTGTGTAAGCGTTGGACTTTGATCAGACATGAAACACGATTAATTCCTTCAGTACCTATTCATTGGGCATCTTCCATCTGATGGGCATTACACCAGTAACTGTGTTATATAAAAGCAGACGAGGTCCTTGTGTGTGTGTGTGTCCCTGACCTTGTGCCCCCCCCACCACCACCATTGAGCACATAGCTTAGTGGGAAGGACAGACATCAAATAGTTATATAAATGAATGTAAGCTTTCAGCCCTGTCATGTGCTACCAGGAGAGGGTTATTGTGCATTGAGAGCATAGAATAGGGTCTGACCTGGCTAAGGGATGAGAGCAGGCTTCCCTCAGGAAGAGCCAAACCACCTAAGATCTTAGGATGATTCAAGTTCACCAAGCAAGGAGGAAGAAAGAATGGTCCAAGCCCAGGGAGCATGAAATGTTCGAAGAACCAAAAGCTACCAGTTTGACTAGAACCCAGAGAACAAAGGGGAGGTTAGAGGCCTTCACAGGGGTCCAACCATCCAGTGTTTGGTTGGGTTTTATCTACGTTCCCAGTGGAAGTGGGGGGTCATAGTGAAGACAGCACAAACCAGGTGGGTAGTCTTTTGCAGAGAATCAAGTGTGTGCAGAGGGCCAGGTGGGGGGTGCGTGCCTTCACTGATTGGACCAGCTTCCCTAAGCAGTTCTCTTATTCTGCTTTTTCCAACAGGGTAACTTCTTTCAAAATATTGGTTCCATCACCCTGTTTGCTGTCTTTGGTACGGCAATTTCCGCTTTTGTAGTAGGTGGAGGAATTTATTTTCTGGGTCAGGTAAGAAAAACATCTTCGAAAAATTCTGAAAATCTTACATTCTTAGAGCTAGTGCAGGGAGGTGGGGTAGGGACACTTCGTGGGGCCTGGGTTTCACATTCAAGGTAAATGCTGTCCTGGAAGGAAATCCAAACTCCTACGAGGAACCGTAAAGGCATGCTGAAATTGTTTCTAAGTGTCCTCGAAGAGCGTTGGTGTCTGGAATTGAGTGAATCTTCTTCATAATCCCCGAAAGTTTTTGATCTTATTTGCAAACCAATAATTTCTTAAGACAGAATACTAAAAATAAAGCAGGATATATACCCCCAAGGTCTTCAGATTAAAACAGTATCAGTTGTGTTATCAAGCAGACTGAGTCAGGATTAACCACTGTTTCTTAGTAAAAATTTGCATTTTAAAAATCAAACTTGATTCTGAATATGTTCACTCAATTCTAAGCTGTCCATCCATAGAATTATATACTTTGGATTTTCCACCATTGCTAAACCAGTTCCCAGTGTTCTGTACTTTGAGTTCAAATTAATTTGAATTAATTTAAACCAAATCTACCCAGAAAGGTAATATCTATAGTTTTGCATTCTGCATGTCTATGCATGTCATAGTTCTTTTCCTTTATGGGCACTTGCCCCGGTTCTGTAAACTAATAAGTTTGAGATTCAGGCCTCTGGGTGACTGGCAGGCTTCTTGTGTGTGTGTCAGACGTGTTTGCTTCTATGGGCAGCTGTCGGCCAAAGCCCACTGCATTTGATTGTCACTTGGACTGCCACCTCGGTGGCACCAGGATAAATCTGTCTGTCGTGCACCCTTCTTCACTGCACAGCTTCTAGCATCAAATGGGAATGAACTTAAGAAAACCATACCTAATTTGGCTTGAAAAATGTAGCATTCTGTTCCATACTTTTGTTGTATAATGATTGAATGCATGCTTAAACTAAAACTTAGTTTTCTTTATTTTTCAAGTGGTTTGGGGACTGAAGATTAATGTCCTTATTAGTTACTAATAAAACACTAATGGACATTTTAATCTTCTTGGCTGTTCTCCAGGGGTTTTTTTTTTGTGTCTGTGTGTTTGTGTGTTTTATTTTACAGGCTGATGTAATCTCTAAACTCAACATGACAGACAGGTAAATCTTTAATACTGTCACACCATGTGACTACTTTTCAGACTGGGGATAGTTTTCTCCACATTGATTCCTGGGTGTGGTGTTTCTCTATTCTGTCTCTCTTTTTGCTTTGCTGATGATTTCTGCTGAATTAACTTGTGGCTCTGAAATGAATCAAAACTATATTGTGGGATTTCGAAGATCTCTAGTCAGAGCATTGCTGATTGAAAGACCTGATTTAGTTTAAACTTTGGAGAGAATGACTCTGGTCAGTTAACCACACACTGCATCTTTTATTATCCAGAATCATCTTCAGCTAATTTCTGAGTCTTTTCAGTGGCCACAATGAAAAGTTGTCCTCTTGATAGATTAGGGATGGAGTGGGAAGTGAGGTGTACAGAATCTTCACTCTGGGCTTCCCCTGAAGCAGGCATGGGGTAGGGTGGGGGAAGCAGGCAGGGCCAAGGGCTCTACTGTGGATATCTGGCTCAGTCTGAAGCTACTCGAGTGAGCACTCCGAGCTGCTATCTCAGAACCCAGGCCAGCAACCTAGGCCGCAGTCTCTTGGATAGTACCAGATCTAGTGCTAAACAAGTGCACAAGCAGAGTGCAGCCTGGTTTCCCCTCTCTGAGAAGTCCAGAGCGTGTGCAGCCTTGATCCGTGTTCCTGCACCATCGGCGCTTGGTTCTGTGGCCTGGCCAGGGGCTAGAAAGCAAGGCGAGCTCTGGGCCCCAGGTCTCTCCCATCAGGCCGGCCAGAGCTTTCGGCCTTCAGCAACTTGGGGGCTAGAATCTTGAAGCCCTTTTCATGGGAAATGTGCCTCTGCTACCAGCCAGTCCAATCCCATCTTTCCACCAGGAACATAAATTTTGGAGTTTTTGCTGTAAGGTAGTCCTGATATATAAATAAGTAGCGAAAGTCACATTCCTATTCCATAAGGAGCTGGAGATAAAGCAGAACCGAGGCCCCGCGTTTTGCAGGTATTTGCAAGTGTAAAGAAACGTCCCATACCCAGTCACGTAAAGGAAGATGTCACAGCATTCAGTCCTTCAACCTGTTTTGGGCCAACTGGTTAGAGATACAGAAAATGCTGGATAAATTCTTGTGGACTTGAATCGAACCAGTGTTTATTGGGATGTTTAGGGAGAGAGGAGTAAAAGAATTGTCCCTTAGACAAGCAGGATAGGAGCCAGGTAGGGCCTCTCGCTCTGTGTGCAGACACTTCCTTTCCTGTTAGAAAGGGACCACCCCCTCACAGGGAGTGCTCTGGGGAAATGAGCCAGCAGTCACAAACACACACAGCCACAGAGCCTGGCCGAGCACTTACCAGAGGGCACTGCCCTTTGCGTCTCGGGGTGACCACAGTGGTGACCGGAAGAGTGCACCCTGTCTGAAGGGGACTTCTCAGCTCCACCTAATAATCACTTTGTGGGAATATGGGCCCCGAATTACTAAATGTTAAAAGAACATTGGGGGGCACCTGGGTGGTTCAGTCAGTTAAACATCTGCTTTTGGCTCAGGTCAGGATCCTCTGGGTCCTGGGATCAAGCCCCGCATCAGGCTCCCTGCTCAGCGGGGAGTCTGCTTCTCCCTCTGCCCCTCTTCTCCCCCTGTCCGTGCTCTCTCTCGCTCTCAAATGAATAAATAAAATCTTAAAAAAAATTTTTTTTTCTGCAAGAGGCCAGGTTTCTAGATTTTAATGGTGAATTTTTCTATTTTTTTTTTTTAAGATTTTATTTATTTGAGAGAGAGAGAGCATGACAGAGAGAGAGCATGAGCAGGGCGGGGGCAGAGGGAGAGGGAGAAGCAGACTGCCCACTGAACAGGGAGCCCGACATGGGGCTCGATCCCAGGACCCTGAAGGCAGACGCTTAACCGACTGAGCCACCCAGGCGCCCTTGAATTTTCTAGTTTTTAAATGTTGACAAGTTAGTCAGTTTTTCGCCATGTAGGTCAAACCTAAGACCCACAGACCGCTGCACAATAGAAAACAAAAATAACTTTGTTGCACAGAAGAGTTTATCGCGGCCATGGTTCTGTTGCAGAGAGATGTCACTGGTGGGTTCACCTGAGTTATTTCCCCACGCTGGTCTGCTTCCTTTTCACTTGTTGATGTTGCAATCTTTGGAGATGGTAGAATAAATCAGGAAAACACGTTTTTAAGGTGAACTTCTAGCCTCTGGCCTTTTAAAGACCCAGCCACGCAAGCGGGAAGGGGAGCACTGACAGCGCGAGGACGTGACCCCTGAGACTCCGAGCTCTTGATGAGTCGGGTCGTCCATCCGTCAGACCTTTCATGCTCGCTGCCAGGAAGGCTCTGCCCTAAGAGAGATCCCTGACCCAAGCTAAATGTGTGCTGTGATTTGTGCAAATCATTTCCCCCCAGCTTTTTATTATGAAAACTTCAAACATACAGAAAAGGCAAAGCTTATACAGCGGCTACCCAAATGACCACCACCTGGGTTCTGCGATTACTGTTTCACTGTATTGGCTTTTTTTTTTTAATTGAAATTCAATTAGCCAACATATAGTACATCATTATCCTGTAGTTTTTGCTTTAACCCAGATCTTTCCATTCATCCATCCCTCTGTCCATTCATCAGTCTGTCTTCTAGTTCCTGCTCTGGTTTCAGTTCAGGTTGCTACAGGGACCATGACAAAGGACATCAGTCAGGCCCATTCTGGCACAAATGAAACCCAACACAAGTAGTTTTGGTTGTGGGGTGGGGGGGTGGGGAGGGGAGGTTGTTGGCTCAGAAGTGAAGCGTTCCGGAATGACAGCTCCCAGCATGACAGCCCCCGGGGCCCACACTGCCCAAGAATCTCTCCTCTTGTTGCATCTCTCTGTGCAGTCTTCCCGACTGGCTTCATCCTCGGGCACGCTTGCCCCACACTGGCAGCACCGCCGGCTCTGGGCTCACGGCACCCGCACGTCAGCTCTCTATGCCAGAAGGGCCAATTGAATTCCCGAGGACCTGGCGAAATGCCTGGTGAGGGCCCTCTTTGACCAAAGTTGGGTCTCCTGCCCACTTCTAGAGCCCCATGCAACTCTGGGGGGGGGAGGGGAGGGGAGGTGTGGCTTCCCAAAGGAAAATTGGGGTGCTGTTCCCAAAACGAGGGGTGTGGATGCGGAGCAGAGAGAACTGTGGCTGTCTGCTCTGCCACCCTGTCCTCGGGAATGGAGCCGCACAAGGTCAGCACCCCACACACAAGCCACCAAGGGCTCCCCGGTTCCTCCTCCCTCGCCTCTCTCTTTTTGGACATTCAGAAAATGCTTTTTAGACATTGTTTTTCCTTGAGGCCCCTGGTGTTTTGCCCCGGGCTGAGGAGAGTGGGAATTAAAGACAAGGAGAAAAGACAAGCTCTGTGTCCAGGGTGCAGCAGGAGGGCCTCGAGGCCCGCTGCCAGCAAAACAGGGCCCCCCCCCCCCAGGTTGGCAATCCCTCGGTAGTGTTACCGTTCCTTCTCTCCCTCGCCTTCCTCCTCCCCCCACCCTCCTGCCTGCCTTCCACAAATGCCTCTGGGCCAAGCTCAGGACGGATCCTGGGAATATACGCATGACTAAAACGTAGTGCCCGCTCCCTGGGCACTCACAGTGAGGGCGAGAGGCAGGTGACCTGTGACCACTTGTAAGGACAGGGCGGGTGTAGAACTGAGCTCTGAACTGAGACTGTCTTTTGGGGTCTGCTCCTCAGCTTGCGATCCAGAGGCTGTCCTTGAGGTGAGCAGGCTATCTTGCATGGGTTCACATTAATCAAACACAGGGAACTGCCCTGGAGACCAGAATGCCAGATTATTGACTTAGAGGGCAAACTGTAGCGGGCAAGGCAACCAGGCATCTCCTCCTACTAGCTCTGCTCTCCCTGAGCCCAGACTCACGATTGTGCAGGGCTGCTGGGGATGGTCCCGTGGACAGAGCCCACCCCCGCCCGGGCAGGAGCACTGACTCTGAGCGAGACGGCCTGTGTTTGGATCCTGGCTCTGCCACTTCTTAGCTGTCTGACCTTCAACAAGTTACTTAACCTCACTCTCCCTCAGTTTTCTTAATGTGATCGGGGTGGTAACAGTAGCACCCCACGTGGGTGCTGTGTGGAGTAATGAGCTACTACACGTAAAGTGCTCAGAACCGTGCCTGGGACGTGGTAAGTGCCATATAAATGTTGGCTCTCATTATTGGCCTCAGTGCCTGAAACATTTTGGGCAATTAATACCTCTTTCTTGGAGGGAATGACGCCTTCCTGGGCACTGGTAGGGGAAGCTGCTGGCCTGTGGGGGGTTGTCTAGCACCCACGCCACCCACGTCCTTGAAGCACACCAGAGTTGCTGCTGACTGTTGGCACTTTCTGAGACGTCGCAAATCTAAATGGAGGCTACGGCGAGTCGCAGGTGGCACTCTGGTGGCAAGGGGAGAAGCTCCCCCTTGAGCCATCACAGTTCCAGCTGCTCTGACAAAGAAGGCTGGCATGTCTAATGTATTTTAAGCAAAAGTCTCCCCTCCGTCATTGGTCAAATAAAGTGTTGGGACTCACGGTGGAAAACCAGGCCATTTCCATCAACCTGCCTGTGGAGCGGGCCTTGCCCTCCCTCACCACAGGGTCCACCAGCACATACCGTAAGCAAGAGAAGAGACACGGTCTCCTGCCCATACGTACACACAGTTCCAGCGTGTACGAACGTGTCAGACCACACGCAGTCTCTGGCTCTGCTGTTTTACTGTGTGGGCCAGGCGATAAGCATCGCAGAGTGACCCCTTCCTTTTCTCTCTTCCTTACAGCTTTGCGTTCGGCTCCCTGATTTCTGCCGTCGACCCGGTGGCCACTATTGCTATTTTCAACGCGCTTCACGTGGACCCGGTGCTCAACATGCTGGTTTTTGGAGAGAGTATTCTCAACGACGCAGTCTCCATTGTCCTGACCAAGTGAGTGTCCTTTCTTCAAGGCCAGCACTTAAAGGTCCTGGTATCAGAGGGACAGATGTTCCCGGGTGGCTGCAGGGACGGCTGCTTGTCCTCTGGGCGGCCGGGTCATGCGCTTCTCCATCTTCTGTCCTGACAAGCCCTGACGCTGCACCCCAGCGATGCTGTCAAGGCCTGGGCTGATCAGAGGCAAGCCCGCCCTTTAGGACCTACCTTTCAGCAGTGGTTTCAAGTCCAGCTTCTTGTCCACGTCACTGGGGATGCTTACTAACCAGAGCAGTCCCAGGCCCCACCCTCTCAGCTTCTGATTCATGAGGTTCTTCATTAGCTCCTCAAATGAGGAGGGAGCAGCTGGTTGAGGGATGGGTGTGTGGACAGCTTTGGTGCATACAAAAGCAGTAGACAGAGGCCCTGCTCTCCCACGGAGGGGCTGTCGCCCAGCACCTTCCTTTCCACAGCTGTAGAATAAGCCAGCGATACTAACGGGTCCCAGCTGGATATGATATTGTGTGAAAGCTGCTTTGGACACTGTAAATCTCTTTCAGATGCTCATCGGTATCACTGCCCTTGTTGATAGGATCTGAGAAATGATAGATGAATCCTAAAATGTCAAGAAGCCTTGAGAAAAAGAAATGAATCTAAGGTCATCTCAAATGCATCTGTCTAACGCGGGCTGTTTCCTTGAACTCTGTCTTTTGTGGTGCTCATTAGCATGTATAGGCAGGAGATCCAAACAGTTTTAGCAAAACCAGAGAAGGCACAGACAGTCAAAGCAGTGGGAGGAAAGAGCTCTGGACAGTGTTTCACAAATGAGCTAAGAGAATCTTAGGAGCCAGCCTGTGTTCTGCTGAAGAATAGACTTTCCATTATCTGAATACTGACTTGTTTCCTTTGTTGGGGGATTCCTGGCTAAGCATAGCCACTCTGTAGTGGTTGGCATTTTCTTAAAAGCTTTATTATAGACTACATTCAGAATCTTCATGTTGGAGTAAAACAATGTTTTATAGTGGAGGGAACCCAGATTTTGGAAATCAGGCTGACCTGGGTTCAAGTCCCAGTGATGCCACGTACAGCTGTGCGATCCTGGGTTCGCTCCTTTACCTCTCTGAGCCACATGTTTCTCAGCAGTAAAGTGAGGGTGATAATGCCTCAGCCTAGGATTGGATTTGAGGATTGAATAACTACGATAATGTATGAGAAGCATCGGACATTAGTTAATGTTAGTTCCTTTCTTCTTCTACGCCTGTCCCCCAGTTACTGTTTCCTGTGTTTGTTCTAGTTTTGTCCTACTTTTGCAGAGAGAACTTTAGTGTTGCTTAATTGCAAGAGGTGATTAGCAGACCTTAAAACAAAAATACTTTAAAATATTTTTGTTATTCTAAAAGTAATACATATATTCTTCATATAAAATTTAGAAAACACAGAGAGAGAGAGAGAGAGAGAGAGTACATGCATTATTACTACCCGGAGATAATTACAATTAACAATTTGGAAGTATACATATGTTTTATTTACCTGGGCTTATACCCCATATACTGTATTATAACTCTTCCATTGAGCAGAGTTGAAAAATAATCTTCCATAACCTCATTTTACTGGTTACAGAGTATTCCTTTCTGTGAGCTTACTGTGATCTGTTTAGCAAGTTCCTCACTATTGGCTTTTTCACGTTTCTCTTGGCAAAAATTTCTATAGCTTTATTAGGCAATTATCATACATCATGCTGTAAGACCTTTTTAAAAATCTGATGGCAATATTTTTTCTTACTTAAGATCTACCCTGAAAGACTTTTTGCTTTCGGGTTTTGACTTTTGTCTCTTGTCCTGGTGCTGCACGTATTGAACATTTGTGATAAAGAATTTTGTCCAAATTGGTGGTGACATCATGAGTTATTTTTATCCATCAGGAGCTCAACTCAACTGCTTTGTCTCTAATTTATTTTGTTTTTAAAAATCTGTCAGAAGTAGGACCTTTTCTGAGCTTCTCCAGGACTCTTTGCCACAAGAAGGTTAAAGATGAGGAGCTATTTTCTTTTGAAAATGAGAAAAGATAGTCACTGTAAACAGCCAAAGTTTCTTCCTGGAAAAGTGCTGCTTTTGAAGGCCAAGATCGCCTGTGATGACAGTTCCCAAAACTGGATCTGTGGGCCGCATGCATATGTAGTGTCCAACCCCCACCTCCACCACTGCTGGTCTACAGGCTGGGGTGGGGCATGATCAAGACTGGCTGTCCACCTTCAGCATCTGGCGAGGGCCCTCCATGTGCCAGACATCACTCAGAGACCAGCTGGACTTGCCAAGGTCAGTCCAAGGTAGGAGAAGGATGCTCCCAGAGGGGTGAGCACAGTGCCTGGAGTACAGGAGGGAGACAGCCGCTCTGAGGGATTGGAGTGAGGCTTCTCAGCCAAGCTGTCTTGTGAGACGGTAGGCGTTTGCAGGTTGGAGAGACAGAGGGGGCATGGTAGGCCTGCCTCTTTTGGGGGGCGGGGGAGCAGTATAGGAGGGGGCTGTTGTCAGCCTTCCTTGGTTATTAGGTAGACTCACATCTTGTTTGAGAGTCTGCTTCATAAATGATCGCTCCCAAAGCGACCCGACACATTTATCTTTGCAGCTGAATGTGTGAATGAATTATACCCCTTTTCTGATGTTTTCATTTTCGTAAGTGCCAGAAAGCTATCTTCTGTTTCTTCATTAACTTTAATTAAATTAGTTTTAGCTTTGCTTTGTTAGTATGACAATTTATTCTTATAATAACTGCTATAGAGGAAACCTTTTTTGTCCTCTTGAGCTGCAGTGTAAGCTCATGAAATGGATCCTGAAGCAGCATTTCCTCTTGTTCTTTTAAGTGTGAGAAACAAAAAATGTTGAAATTGACCAGGCCAGAAAGAGTCCAGATTCTACTTTCAGTTATCTTGAGTTCAGAAACTGTTGGCCTCTGTCCTGGGTCTGCTGTCAGCCCTTGATGCGACCTCACCAGTCAGTCACTTCCATGGGGCCTCTGCGTGAAAAGAAAGCAGTGGCCCCAACCGCTGGACCAGCCGTGGCGGCTTTAAGGGGTGGGGGCTGGGCACTGTGTGCAGGCAGCCTGCAGATCCATTTGGGAACTGTGGGTAAGCTTAGCCTTCAAAAACACTTGCCCAGTGCGAACCCTTATTGGCTCACCGCACTCCCCAAGGTGGGGTGTTAACCTGTGGTCTGCTGGAAAAGTAGGGGATGTAGGAGGTTGTGCATTCAGGTGAGTTTGGAAAACTTCTATGTGAAAAAAGATAGATTTCTTTTTTTTGCAGGACTTTTCAGGACGTTTATTATGTTACACTGTGCTGTGAATCGCCCCTGAAAACTTCCTGAGGTTATTTGACCAAGCCACCCTTTTATCAGAGATTGTCCTGCTTTAAAATTATACCAATTCATGAAACGCTGATTAATGAAGCTAAATATTTCTATTGACAATTCTTTGTTTTGTTTACTGATTCAGCAAAAATTTACCGAGTATCTTTGTATACTAGGCTCTGCCTTAGGCCCTGGACGTGTAGCAGTGAACAAGGTGGACACAGGCATGGTCCTCATGAATGACTCATGAGTTGGCACATGCTGTGAAGAAGTCAGGTACCAGGAGAGAGTAGACTATGTGAAGGGGTCAGGGCAGGTGTCCCTGAGGAAGTGACACTGACCCTGGGTTCTGAGGAACAAACTGGGGAGTTAGCTGGGGCCAGGGAGCAGTGAAAGATGACCTACAGAGGGGTACCCATGACAGTGGAGCCCTTCCTGAATGAGGAGGAGAGAGGGTCACAAGGTATGGCGGACAGAGGGGTCAGGTGTTGCTTTGGCTGGGCTTCCCCCTGAAAAGCAGTAAGAAACTGTTGATAGGCTTGGACAGGCCAGTAACCCGATCAGATTGTGCATTTTATTTTATTTTATTTTAAAGATTTTATTTATGTAACAGAGAGAGACAGAGAGAGAGGGAACACAAGCAGTGGGAGTGGGAGAGGGAGAAGCAGGGAGCCCGATGCGGGGCTTGATCCCAGGACCCTGAGATCATGACCTGAGCCGAAGGCAGTCGCTTAACCAACTGAGCCACCCAGGCGCCCCAGATTGTGCATTTTAAAGGGATCATCCAGGCCAGTGAGTGGAAGGAAGACAAGGATGTTTGGAAAGAGTGATGAGGCATAAGATCCGGGGACAGAGGATGGTAAGGAGAGAGAGGGAGAGAAGTAGATGGATTTGAGAGGTAGTCTGAAGGTAGAATCCGTTAGCAGGAGGATCTTTAATGAGAATCACTCCATTGTCATCGTGTAATGGTTTTCCCTTGGGGGATGAAACCATTAATTGAATTTAATGGCTTCTGACATTTTACTTTGTGTTGTTATCCTGGAAGGAAAGTTCTTTCAGTTCTTCTTCCTAATGCCTCCTAAATCTACTCTCTCAGCCCTTACCCAGTGACATTTCTTCTTTAGGGTTGCTCCATTCTCAGATTTTCTGCCATCGCTTCAATTCCAGGTTTTATCACAGGATCCTCCCCCCCACCCCCCTCCTGACTGGAAGCACTCCCCGTGGTTCCCTGGGGCCTTCGGGGTGAAATACAAACCCTTAGCTTGGTTCATTGCCTTTCACAGGTCCGCCATGGCGGCTGGTCTTGCCTTTCCTCTTGCCACTGTTCTCCGCACCAGAGCCTCCACCCCATCCCATTCCTGGGTTCTAGCCATGCTAAGCTATGTAATTGAATGCTCCCAGAATGTGCTCGGCATTCTTGGGCTCCCTGCCTCTGCATGTGCTGTTCCCTCTGCCTGTGCTGTTCCCTCTGCCTGGGACACTTCCCCTCATTTCTTCACCTGTTAACTCTTCTTTTTCTAAATCTGAACCCAGCCCACATGTCAGGAGGAACCTTCCTTGACCACCACCGGGCTGAGTTAGATGCCCACCCTGTGTTTCTGCAGCCCTTTGCCTTACCCCGAGGTGGTCATTTGCTCTCACCTTGTTTGTCTTCCTTACCAGACAGAAGGAGCCCTTGCAGGGCAGGGACTCTGCTCTCCTCTCTGAATCCGCCCCCCTCCAAAAGCTAACACAGTAGGTGTTAGTTCACAAAGTAGGTGAACAAGTAAGTGACCTAACCCAATGATGGAAGGAATAAAGGACCACATAAGCAAAAAAAAAAAAATCAGTTTTGAGTTTTAGTTGATTTCTGATAACTTTGTCTATAACATTTTAACTTCTTTCTGTTTTTCTTTTATTTCCTAGCACAGCTGAAGGCTTAACGAGGAAAAATATGTCAGATGTCAGTGGGTGGCAAACATTTTTACAAGCCCTTGGCTACTTCCTCAAAATGTTCTTTGGCTCAGCGGCACTCGGCACCCTCACTGGCTTAATCTCTGCATTAATATCCTTTTAATATGTTGAAGACACATGGCTGAGAAGATTTTCTTAATTATATTCTCCAACCATTTTCCCCCCTTCCTTAAGGGGCCAGTTTTAGTCTAAGGCTGCGTTTGAAGAAGGACCTTTATGTAGTTTTGGTTTGAGGAGCACTTTCACTGAAACCCAAGGACTTTTAGATGTGACGTGTGCAATTTAGGATGTCATTTTTCAGAGCGTCATGGTCACGCACACCATTGGCTCTCAGATCCCACCGTTGGGGGAGCTTCTCACTTGAGAAGATTTTCAGGTTCCCCTGTCTCATTTTTCACAGTCAGAAAACTGGAAATTAATTTCCTCTTAATGACCAAATCGAGAAAGTCTTTACCCCACTGAAAGTGTTTATCTGGGGGACCAGTAAAGAGACTTTCAAAATGAGTCCATCCAAGGTATCCACGCTGATTGCACTGCTCAACGGCCCATACGCTTTTCTCGTCAAGGAGGAACGAGGCTTGTGAGGGCCAATGACACCTTCATTGCTGTAGAAAATTTGTCATGTTTAAAATAGGAACAGGCACCAGACCGTTTTCTGTGGGAGCCCAAGCCTGTGTCTCAGGGAGTTGGCCACCTGGCCCTCCTCCACGAGCAGTTTGTTCCACAGATGGCCGGAAGAGCCACCCTTGCCTGTGACGGGCGTGCTCGTCTGCCGTCCTGTTGAATTTTCCCTTCACCTCCTTTGTCCAGAAGTCTAGAGGCTCTGTTGTTGGCTGACAGCTTCTCATATTGTAGCAATAAACAGAGTGGGAAAGAAAACTTTTTCGAGTTCAGTATTTACCTCCATATTTATCTTTCTCTTGGGGGAGAGGGGATGGAGAAGCATTGGCTGTAAGGAAGCCAAGTCGCTGGGCACTGCGAGCCCCAGCATGGGCGTGTGGGCTGTATTTGAATAGAGAGAAGATTCTCCTTTCATAGGAGCATGAGTTTGGAGATCTCCAGGAATATGAAAGGAGGTCCTTCAGTGGGGCACTTTACCCCAGAGTTCTGCACACCCCGTTAGCTGTCTCATCTGATGTTGGAGGAAGGGGGGGCGGGAAGAGTGACACAGCCTTGGAAGGGACCCGGCAGCATGGGCTGTCCTCCGGCTGGCTGTGGCCCCAGCTTTGCCCCCGCAGCCCCGGCACGTTACCAGCCTTCCCAGTCAGCGTTTTTAAGTGAGTTGACTTGGGTGGATTTTAATTTTTCGCCCACTATTTGTCTCAGGAATTTACAGTTGTTAGTGTTTTGTCAGATTCCCTTTCTTAAAACACCAGTCTCCCTGCAAAGAAAAAGAAAACAACAATGGATCTTCACATGTTACCCTGGGATGTTCCAAAGCCTTTCGGATCCATTGCCTACCGTATGTATTTGGAAGGCAGCAGTTTTGTGACTTTTCTGCATCTCCCATCAACTGTCCCTTGGTTCTTTTTCCTTGACAACTGTTATTTACGTGCTAAAGCATATTGACTTGAGGAAAACGCCTTCCTTGGAGTTTGGCATGATGATCATTTTTGCTTATCTTCCTTATGGGCTTGCAGAAGGGATCTCACTCTCGGGTAAGTGACAGAAACATTAACTTCTGGGGTTGATGGCACGTTGTCTTGCCTTTTGAAAGAGGTTATGTCATTGGGGTCACTTTCAACCACAAGAGACCGTCACAACTCAGAAGAGCTTAAGCAACAAAGGGGATTTACTGGCCCTTTAGGGATACCTCTGAATTTAGACCTGGCTGGATTCAGGGGCTCAAGTGTTGTCATGGTCACATTTTCTCTTCGCCCACCCCCCTGTAGCAGAGATCAAAATATCACTTCCAGCGTTGTCTCTTTCCCAGAACAAGGCCTAAAAGGGCCTTCTTCACTCAGAGGATGGGGTCAGACCGCCAAGGGCGGTCAGTCCCCCGGCCTGGCCCTGGGCCGTGACCCCATTGATCTGCATTCTGTCACGATAGTTTTGCCTACAAATGAAATCACATAGTACATAGACTTTTGTGTCTCCTTTCTTTTAGTTACCATAATGTTGTTGAGAGACATCCATGTTTTTGCACGTGTCAGTACTTTATACATTCTTACTGCACCACATTTTATTCGTTCATTTGAAGGACATTTGGGTTTTTCCAGATTTTAGCTATGAATATGTGTGCATATTTCCATTTATCTTGGGTAAATACCTAAGAGTGAGGTTGCTGGGTCATATGGTAAGTATATATTTATTAGAAACTGCCAAGTGTTTTCCAAAATGACTGGGCCATTTTGCATCCCCACCAGAATGCATGAGACAGTTCTAGCTGCTTCCTGTCCTCATCAACACTTATTTTAATTTTTAAAGGTTTAGCCATTCTCCTAGGTGTGTGGCAATTTGATTTTGATGTACTTTGGTACAATTCTCTTTATAGTCCACTTGGGGTTCATTGAGCTTCTTGGGTTCATAATTTATGAGGTTATAGCTTTTCACCAAATTGGGGAAATTTTTACCCATTTCTTTAAACACTTTTTTCTGTTCTCCCATCTCTTCTTCTGTTGGGACTCCAGTTACTGAAATTATGTTCGACAGCATTCTTTCATCCCATAATACACTTTGCCTTTTTAAATTTTTTCCATCTTTTTTTTTTTTTTCTGTCTCTGCTTTACTTTGGCTCATTTCTCTTGCTCTGACTTTATGTTCACGGATCTTTTCTTCTGCCATGCCCACTGGCCTGTTAGTCCCATCCAGCTTATTTTCCACTTCAAATGTGTATTATTCGTCCTTGGGAGTTCCCTTTAGGCCATTTTTATATCATCCATTTCTCTCCTTACCGTGTTCATGGTTGTCTCTACATTCTTGAGCATCTGGGACATGTTTATAACAGCAGCTCTAACATCCTTATTTGCTAATTCCATCATCTCCGTCAGTTCTAGGTCTTTTTCTGTCAGTTCACTTTTCTTTTGTTCATAGGTCATATTTTCCTGCCCTTTGCTCGCCTATTAATTTTTCATTGAATGCCAGTCATTGTAAACTTCATTATGTTGTTGAGTACTGGCTTTTATTATATTCTTCATAGAATTTTGGATTTTCTTCTGTCGTGTATCCAAGTTTCTTGGCATCAGTTTAATCCTTTTGAGGTTTACTCTCAGACTTTGTCAGCAGGTCTGGAGTAGCCCTAGGAAGTAATGCAGTGCCCTTCCAAGGACTCTACCTCCTGTCTGCTGCTGTATTACAAGGTCACCCCACTCTGGCCTGTGGGAACACAAACTTCCCAGCCCTATGTCTGCTTCGGGAATTGTTGGCCTGTTCCTTATTAGTAATCGTCTTCCTAGCCTCTTAGGATCTCACCCACTCGTGTACAGATCAGCACAATGCAAGATTCAAGGGGACACTATGGTAGCTCTCCAGAGCTCTCTTTCTGTGCAGCCCCCCTTCTCTGGCATTCTGGCTGTTTCAGGTCCCTCGGCTGTCATCTGTCTCCTCTTCTCAGCTAGACTTGACTCTGCTGGGCTGGGGTTTGGAGTTCCCCTCCCTAAGCCTCAGCCCGGAAGCTCTGTCTGAGCAGTAAGCTAGGCCGGGGCCTGGAGCAGGAGTGGCCGCTTTGTTTCCTGTCTGTCAGGAATGTTTCCCTTCTGACAGCCCTACCCTGCAGTACCCAGCGTCAGAGGGAAGTTTCGTTTCATATCTTCGATCAGGTTTTCTAGTTGTTTATGGCAGGATAGCAGTTTGCAGAGCAAAGTGGAAGTCCCCAGTGGTTTGCAATGACTCTCTTGAGCAGAATTCTCCTTCCCCGCAGATGGTTCTCTAGAATTACACGCGGGTACTCGGTGAGCAGATCCTGCCAAGGAGGAAGCAGAGAGGACTCTGGCCATTTTCACTGGAGAACTCTCTGTAAACGTCATGGTTTTGTTTGTTCTTAATTTGATTTGTTCCCAAGCCAGTTCTCTTGGATAATTTCATCCCAGTATCTGCCATCGAGTTCCTTCTCTTATCTTTCCTGAATTTTGGCACTTACATAAACATTACCTTTGAGTCATTTGGCTCTAGCCTGGCTATTTTTACCTCTGTTTTTCTAAATTGTTCCCCACCCCTTTGAGATGAACACTGAGTACCTGGTGGCAAAGATACATTTCATGCATCCATTTGGAATTTGTGATTAAAACCAGGGAGTGTTTTTCTTGTCTTCAGAGCAGCAGTGTTTTCTGTTTGTAGGGTTTCACTTCTTTGAGGGCCTTTGCTAAACATGCCAGTGGACAGTGAGGCCAAAGACAGCACATGCGAGCCAAGAGCATGCTCGGCCACCTCTGGGCAGTTGGCTGGGCTCTGCCCATGTTTGTCTTTGGGATATTTGTCACACAGGGTTTTCAGACAAGGGTAGGATAGTGCTGGGGTGTTGGAGGACCTTCGAGTCCCGCTGTGAGAGTACAGCGGGAAAGGTGGTGTTTGCTACCCCCCTTCCTTTTCCTGCTGTACTTTTCCTGTCGCAAAGGACTGAGTGAGCAGTTACCAAGAACATGGGGCAGGGTGCTGTCCTCCGAATCACGTGTTTAGGACACATCGGTTAAGGACGCCGGACAGACCAGGGTTTGAATCCCTGCCCCGCCTCTCATTAGCTGTGTGACCTCACACAGTCGACTTAACCACTCTGAGCATCCACTTCCTTCTTATGAAATAGACGTTTAAAAGGGCCACCCCAGGGCCGGTGGTTGAGGGTTAAAGGGAACGATGCGAGTAAGAGTCCTGACAGAGGCATGCTGGGGTGACACGTCCTGCTGGCCCTAACACGCCCAACATGTATTAACAGCACCCCCTTTCACTCACAGACATCCTGGTTTCAACGGCAAATTAAATAGTCCCCCTAATTATGAGTTAGTAAGTGTTAGCTGTTCTCAGAATCTTTGTTCGAATTCTGTCCGTGTTAACTGGTCTTTTCACTGAGGCCAGTTTCAAGGGCCACTTTGCCCTCTGGCTCTGAAGATTCAGGGTTGACTAAACCCCACCTTTGCCAATTCAGCCAACAGTGGGCTGAGGGAGGGCGATTGGGGCAGAGCGACACACTGTCATGTTGAGTCACAGAGGATGGGACGTAACCTCTGTGTCAGGTGGGGGAGATGCGGGCCAAAGGTAGAGCTTGGTGTGCAGCTCTCCCGAGCTCAGGGGCACAGCCAGGGGTTCCTTTGCAGCCCTGACTGTGGGAGAAAACCTGCAAGCCACTAATGCTAGGAAAGATGAAGTACATTTGGGTCGGTTCTCAGTATGGAATTCTGTGCAGCCACCGAATAAATGAATTTGACCTATTTGTGCTGCCATGGAAAGAACTCTAAGATATATTGCCAAATTTTAAGGAAAAAAAAAAAACTGGAAAACCATTTATTCATCCATTCAACAAATACTTATTAAATGTCTACCCTGTGCCAAGAACTGTCCTTGGTACTGGGGCTGTCCTTAGTAAACAAGACCAGATGAGGTTCCCACCTGCCAAAGAAAGATGGCAAGCAAGTAAGCAAACACACACGGTAATTTCAGGTAGTGAAGAAGTGACAGGAAGGAGAGAAATCAGAGCAATGTGACAGTGGCATGGGGGCAGATGCATCATGCAGTAGGGGGTCAAGAAGGTCTCCCCAAACAGGTGGTGCCTGAGCTAAGACCTGTGTGGTGAGAAGGAGCCAGCCAAGGGAGGACCTGAGGCAGCAGTGCACTGAGCAGTGCTCAGTGTCCAGATCGCCGTGAGGGAGCTTGGCACACTCCAGGAAGAGCAAGAAGGCCAGTGTGGCTAGGACAGAGGGGCAGGGGCCCCGGCCGGCAGGGTTCTATAGACCCAGGAAGGAATTGGGTTTCTGTTACATGTGCAAAGGTAGGTTCAGTGTTTGAGGCCCTTTAAAAATCCCTCTGCTGGTAATCCATGCTGCATACATAATGTGATCCTCCTATTTTGTGCTTTTTAAAGGCAGATGAGCTTTGTTATAGCATGGGCAAAGAACTGGCAGCCTATATGGGGAACTGTTAATAGTAAGTAGTTCCCTTGGGGCAAGGCAGTGTGAATGGAGAGTCTCTGACTCTATACCTCTGAGTCTGGGTGTTTTATAGCAAAATAGTTTTATTTTAAGGTAATTAACAAAACTAACTGTGGTTTGATCCAGCCTTCGGGAAGTTCATCATATTTTACCCACAGTAAGGTGCAATACAGTGGAAGTTATACCACAATAGACACCCTTCACCTGCCTTTGGACTTGAGTCTCTATTCATCATCATTGTTTGTAACATTTAAAATAGTGGATTTAACTGAAACTAGAAATGGATTTCCTCCCTTCCTCCCTTCTTTCCTTCCTTCCTTCCTTGATGATGACCATTTTGCTGCACTGTTATCTACTTCCTCAAATGATTTTGCCTTCTAGAAGAAATACATGTGTCAGGGATTCTTCCTTATAGGGCATTTTTAAAAATACCCATGCCTTGGAGCGCCTGGGTGGCTCAGTCGGTTAAGCGTCTACCTTTGGCTCAGGTCCTGATCAAACCCTGCTCAGCAGGGAGTCTGCTTCTCCCTCTCCTTCTGCCTCTGCCCCCCACTTGTGCTCTCTCTCTCTCTCTCTCTCATAAATAAATAATGTTTAAAATAAAAGAGGGGCGCCTGGGTGGCTCAGTTGTTGGGCGTCTGCCTTCGGCTCAGGTCATGATCCCAGGGTCCTGGGATCAAGCTCCACATCGGGCTCCCTGCTAGGCGGGAAGCCTGCTTCTCCCTCTCCCACTCCCCCTGCTTGTGTTCCCTCTCACTGTGTGTCTCTCTGTCAAATAAAGAAATAAAATTAAAAAATAAAATAAAAAAATTAAAAATAAAATAAAATACCCATGCCTTTTAGCTCTACAAGTGAGCCTGTTCGCACCATTTACCCATTGGTGTTTTCACAGCCTGTGTGGTGGCAGCTATAGTGGATGAGGGTGGTCTGGGCGGTGGTGAAGCTTGGAGAAGCTACCTTTGCTGAGGGAGGGCTCGTAGGGCAGACACTTGAGCTGTCCCTCAGGCTTTTGCATCCACTGCTGATGCTGCTGACTCTTTGCTTTAGCCCCCAGAACTCAAGAGATGCCCTGACCTCAGACTAGCCTGGGGTAAAGGTGGTGGCTGGCTGTTCCTAGGGTCCAAACTCAGCCTCCAGAGGGCGGTGGTTATCTGTACAGAAAATTTGTTAACATTTGAGTTATTTGCCGTCATTAAAAGCTGGGAGATTTCCCATAAGAAACATCTCTGGCATCTCTCCAAAAGCCGGAAGGAAGACTGGCTGGTCAGCATTCAGGTCTCCCATCCACAGGGCTGCGGGCAGAACTTTATAGATGGGCTTCTGCCTTCTTCGCCCACATGTTGGTCACCCTTCTTTCTTCTTTATTGTCCGGCTCCTGAAGCTTCTGGGTTTCCAGCCCTGGCCTAGCGCACCAGACTGACCCAGCCAGCCAGACCCCTCCTGCACTGAGCCTGCCCCCTGCTGCAGAGCGCTGAGGCAGGATGCACCGGAGGGTGGGCAGGAAAGCTCCCTGGCACTCCGGCAGTGGGTGCTGGTGTTGAGTCCCGAGGCAACTTTCACTGTCACCTCTGACTTCCCAGAGCTTTCCAGAGAGGTCATTTCGTGTTGGGACTCCTGTGGGCGGGACAACAGTGTTGATGGAAGGCCACTCGTGTCACAGCCTAAACGTGGCTCAGGCACCTCTGGGGTTGACTTTTACATCAAGGTAAGAACTCCAAGGTCTCAGCTTTGCCAGTGACTTGATCACCCTTCTCAAAGCGAACAAGTGAGAGAAAACCCTTTGGAAGTGCAGAAGCTAGGAACTTTTCGCCCTGGACGGTGATGCTAAGGATCAAGTCCATAAAAACTGAAGTGTGTCCATGCTGCTTTTGAGCCTCAGCTTGCTCATCTGGACACCGGGACGAACAGCACCCCCTCATGGAACCGTCGGGGTCGTGAGGCTAAGCCACGTGCAGTGCCCATCACGGGCCTGGGCTGAACCGGTGTGAGCTGCCCCCCTGCCATTCGATGGGGTTCCAGTCTCAGGTTCTGGTCTCTTCCCTTCTGTCTCACATTGCTCTGCCTTCCCTGTATTCTGTGTCAGTGTCAGGAAGGGTCAGCAGCCCGGGGCGGCGGGGGGGGGGGGGGTCCCCCCCAGTGCCTGCAGGAGCATACTGGGACAACAGCCGGAGGTCCTGGTGTGTGCTTTCTTATCTAGCAGAGCAACAGTTCACAACGTTTCATGAGCTGTAGTCTTCCCGGTGCCCTCAAGGGTCGCGGAAAGCCTGCGCTCTCCTTTCCCTATCCCATCTTGTCAGGTGTGCCCCTGGGAAGCACTGCTGGAATGTTCCTGGCCAGCCTCCTCAGCAGGGAAGAATGAAAGAACTCAGGGATTTGCCCTTCACACAAGGGGGCGGGCCTGCCCTTGGCGGGGTGGGGCATATCGTTGAGACCTCAAGGTGAGCCCTCGAAATGGCTCCGATGCAGTTGGGTGGTTTTCACCCTTTCCAAATGGAGAGTCAGCTAGGCATCCCTGTCTCTACGAAGTGGCAGGAGTGAGCTACAATTTTGCTTACGAATTTTCGCTTGTAATCCATACATTTTTACAGCTTATTTAATGAGTTTGTAAAAATCTCATCTTCCTTACGTGAAAATGAGGCCCCTTTCCTGCTGCCAAGGCAGGGCAGCATTGAGAGGTAACTAACCCATCTGTGCAAAGCACTTTGGGAGTGATTAGGGGCGGTGGGCCATGCAGAGATCAATCCTGAGTGAGCAGCAGGAAGTGTAGACTCACGTGGAGAGCTTTCAGGAAAAGACACAGATCCTTTTTTAGTCACTCCTCTCTTTATAAGAGGAACTCGTGGTGATTAAGGGAAAATTAAAAAAAAAAAAAGTAAATAAAAATCCACCCGTTCTCCACATCCAGATTCTTACGCTCCCTTTCTGCCCCAAGAGTGGTTCACCTGCACCCCTTCCATCCGTGGGTGACAGTGACAGCTCGCATCTGCTCAGCCCGGGGCCTGTGGTGGGCAGTGTACATGGCTTATCCCTACTACCCTCCTGACGGGTCCAGAGAGGGTGCTGTTAGTCCCACTGCCCAGACGAGAAAGCTGAGCTTGGAGAGGGAATGAAGCTTGGCCCAAGATCACCCAGCCGGTAAGGAAGCTGCCAGAGACGGGGGCCCCATAGCATTTCTCTGCGGCCTCTGGGAGACCTCAGGTAGTACTTTCTTCCCCTTTCTTTTCCTTTTTCTGAAAACATGTACCACCGTAGGGCCCAGTGACTTGTAGAAAATGTGCGATATTATTTGTGTATCACATAGCAGGTGCTTTTCTGCTCTGTTCATGTCTGTGTGCTTTGCCTCTTTGTCCTTCTCCAGGCATCATGGCCATCCTGTTCTCGGGCATCGTGATGTCGCACTACACGCACCATAACCTGTCCCCGGTCACCCAGATCCTCATGCAGCAGACCCTTCGGACCGTGGCCTTCCTGTGCGGTGAGTTCTGCCTCTGTGTGGTCCCGCGCGGGCCTGCCCACGGCCCATCGTTCAGCCACACCCTGTTTTCCCTGGCAGGAGAGGCAGCAGAATTCCTTAGAGCCAGATGCTTCTCTCCCTTATCCTTTGCTTATTACTCTGGCTTTCAAATTCGATAACATAAACCTAACTCCTGATAACTTTCTGGAACATTGGACTCCTATAATTTTAAGACCAAAAATAATGAGAACTACTAAACATGAACATTGGAGACCGATACATTTTAAACATTGTAAGGTTTGAAAAGGTAAACATTTCCAAAAATGTGTCCCCTGGCACTGGCATCAGTGAGGGTTAGGTGAGACAAGACTCCACAGTCAAACAAGAGTCTGGAAAATCCTGGGGGATGCACACTTCCAGTTTGGGGGCTGCAAGAGCACCGTGAGCTGACGCACATTGTGAGTTGCTGAGAAGGGGACAGCGTTACAGCTTTTTCCCAACTTGTCCACAGGCCCCTTTCCCCGAGAGTGGCTCGAAGGGCGTAACTCGCATGCCTGTGTGCTAGCCCTGTCATTGCTGGACGGGGTCCACCGCGGAGACTCTTTCTGTTAAGCAGTTTCAGTGTGAGCTTTTGCTCCCCCACACGCTGCTGTACCCCCCGCCTCCTCCCTGGTTTATACCTGGCAGCGAAGGATGCGCTCTCCCACGGTCCCCTTCCGTCGGCCTCCTGGTGGCCGTGCCCTAGCTGTCCTCAGCAGCATCTCCCTGGCGCTGCGGTGGGGTTCGTCTCATTTTCCAGCACTGGTTCTGCATTGTCATGCGCTAGGCGACCCGGGTGGGCCGCGCAGAGGCTTCCTTCCGCAGCCCAGGGGGCTCAGGTACCCAGAGGTCAGATGACTTGCCCACAGGCTCGTGGCTAAGAAGTGAGTTTGGATTCCAGGTCTGTGTCTTCCTGGTCCAGGGGGTCTTTTTTCCACAGCTCCCCACTCACAAAGTCCTAGCTAAGGTCTCTGAGCCCGACTGTCACAATTAAAGGGATATAAAGCAAAACACCCAACTATTTTGTACCCATCAGACTGGCATGTCTCAGTTTTGCTAATACCCACTTCCAGCACAAGCATATGGGAAGCAGGCCCCGTTGACAGGCGCAGGCCCCGATGCCATCTTTTGTGGCGAGTCATTGCAGCATCAGGCTGGGTTTCAAAGCCGTGTGCTCTTTGACCCAGTAGAGCTACCCTCGGGAACGGAGCCTGGATATTTGCTGTAACTGGTAATATCAGCAGTAGAAACAGCCTCAGTGTCCATTGACACGGGATTTGTTAAATTAGCCATGACATACTGATATGATGGATTTTATGCCACCCGGGAAAAGCATAACATAGATCTGAGTATGTTCTAAACGAGCTGATTTGGAAAAATCACAAAAATGTTTATTAGATAAGAAAAAAATTCAAGGAGAAGGGTGTGTGTACTATCCAGCTTGCAGACTTGTTTTAAAAAGATACATGTTTAGAGAAGAACATGGCTGAAGTGTTTTATTTATTTATTTTTTAATAGATAGGTTTTTTTTTTAAGATTTTATTTATTTGGCACACAGAGATAGCGAGAGAGAGAGAGAGAGAGAGCACAAGCAGGGGGAGTGGCAGGCAGAGGGGAGAAGCAGGCTTCCTGCATGAGCAGGGAGCCCGATGTGGGGCTCGATCCCAGGACTCTGGGATCATGACCTGAGCTGAAGGCAGCGGTTTAACCCACTGAGCCACCTGGGCGCCCCTGAAGTGTTTTAAAACAGCCTCTCCGTTTTATCATGTTCAACTATTTTAAAATACAGTCCTTGTCTCCCTGATTATTAGCCTATTCTGAGGGACGTCACAGTGTTAACAGGGAGCCTAGTGCTAGAAATTCATACGGTGCTTTTACACAAGCACCTGCTTGCCCAGAGAGTAGGTGTCGGACTTTCTGACTTGTGGAGTGAAGCCAAGGGTTGGAAATACCCCTCTTCCTGCAGATCCTGTGGGGACAAGCCCATCTTCCAAATCTGTGGCAGCATCAAATGCGTGAAGTCACTCATTTAGCTTTGGTCGCCCTGGCAAGGAAGTTAACCGAGGGCCCTTTTCACACTAGTTATGTGGTACCTGCAGTCATTTGCTCTGAATTTTTGCCACTTTGCTGCAGTTGGGATCCTTGCTAATGACTGTTCGACAAATGGGCAGATTCATATATTTATCATCTTGCCCGGTGGGAGAGTATTTACTTGCATGGGTATTTGACAGCTGGATCATTAAATGAGGAGATTCTGAAAAAGCAAGCACGTGTGGCTCATGTGATAGAAGAAAACGAGCAAATCGAAGCACAGTCTCCACCAAGGCATTGGGTGCAGCAGGATTTTTCAGAAAATAAGCAACGTGTTATAGTGGATTCTGACTCACTGTGAAATGTTGGCTTGCTTTAGTGATCGAGTACCATGTCAGAAGAAAATAGTTGGGGCTGAATAATCCATTCTTTGGTTTGTTTCAGAAACATGTGTGTTTGCATTTCTTGGCCTGTCCATTTTTAGTTTCCCTCACAAGTTTGAAATTTCCTTTGTCATCTGGTGCATAGTAAGTATTTTCCTTGTTTTTTATTTAATTACTTATTGGTAGATCAATAACCACATGTTCTGGATTCATTTATGTAACTGTTAACTGCTCAAGGTCAACAGCTACATAGACACTCTTCTGTTTAAAGTTTCTTTTGTTAAAGAATCACAAACATACGATAAAGGGTAAGTGAATGAATATCCTTGGAAAAGAATGTTTTGCTTCTTTTTAAATTGTAAATGGCCTTAAAGGTTATGGTCTTCTCCAAAAAGTACAAGTTTCTGTGTTTCTATGTTAGATGGTAAAAGCAGCTTTCAGAATTGAACGCATAATTGATCATAACCATGTAAAAACATCATGCGTAAAAAAAAAAAATGTAAAAAATATAGCACAATGTTCACAGCGATGGTAGAATTGGGGATGACTTCTTTTCGTTTTCTACTTTTTCTGAACAATTTATAATGCACATACTTCTCACTGTGGTTTTCTTCAAATGTGTCCATTTTTGAGTATGACCTTGGACGGTTGTTAAAGTAAAGATTACCAGACCCTTACTTACCTCTCCAGAGGTTCACCCAGAACAGTCATCCCAGGTGATTCTTATCATTCAGAAGGTTTGGGAAACTTACCATTGGACTCGGGGCAGTAAGAGGAGACAAATTAAAAAATTAATTAATTAATTTAAAACAGTAGAACCAAATCTTTTGGGGGAGGGGAATGGAGGGGAATAAATGTTTAGTGTTTAAAGCAAAGGGGCAGTTTCTTCAGGCATCAGATGGAAGTGACGTGAATGGCTTCTAACATGTGGGCATTTAGGCTGGTGCTCCCAGGTCTCTCATCCCTCAGTGTAAGCTTGACTCCCATAAGCCCGCCTGCTGATTCATACTGCAATCCCTAATTTGATCTTTTTTTGTCCTTTTAAAATCCACCGTTAATTTAAGACACATGAGAAGCACGCCTTACTGTTGCTCAATTATCATAATTCATCTTCAATTAACTTTTATTAACCAGTGCCACTTAACAGAAGCCAGCTATTGAGAGGCAGACCTTTTTTTTTTTTTTTTTTTTTTTTCCTGTCACCTACCATGTGCAAACCAGAGACGCCTACCTGTTTGGCCTGTGGGGAAACTGAGGCACAGAGGAGCTAAAGAGCCCTAAGGGAAACGATGTTTCTCCTTGTAGTATGGGTGCTTCCACCTCTCAGTCAGCAGGAGCTCGTTGCTTTTGCTACTGTTATCTGTCCTCCAGACTCAGGTTTCAGGACAAAGAGAATAGCAAAAGTTGTTTACAGAAAGTATAATAGTCTTTAGTGTGCTCACTGGGTCAAAGGGGCCACATTTGGTCAAACCTGAAACACAAGTGAGGGAATCAAAGATAGGATTTCAGTGGGTGAAGCAAGGAGGTGGCTCCCTGTGCCGTGGGCTAGGAGCCAAAGGAAAATGAGAGGATGCTCTGGAGTGGGGGCTCTGTCTCCCCCAAGCACACAGGCAGGCCAGCCCTGCCTCTCCCGGAGACGGCCCCTGCTGTTCAGATGGGTCACCTCAGACTCGCTCAGTGGTCAAGGGCACAGGCTTTGGGGGCTGAATCGGGTTTGGGGCATGGCTCCCCACTTCCTGCCTGGGTCAGCTTGGACCAGTCCCTTAACCTCTCTCTGTCTCCATTTACTTTCCCTAAAATGGAGACAGTAATACCAGTAATAAGAGCATTGCAGGGATCTAAATTTAACAAGATATAATGCATATAAAATGCGTGGCACATTGTCCGATACATAAATGTTAGATGATTGGGAGCCATTGTTAATTTGGCCATCCAAGGCAAACAGTCCAAAGCACATTCAATTTGTGCTTCTTAAAAGAATAAACTTAGAGCCTGCCGAATGTACATGTGTATGTTGTGTACATATTACTACGTTAGTTATGGTGAGAACTGAGATGAGAAAAGAGTAAATTAATAAGTAGTTCTAGGTATCCAATTAGATAAGATTTAAACCTTACCTAAAGCTATATTTTGTTAGGCCAAATTTGGGGATGGTTAGGAACCAAAAGCCTTGGCAAGCAATCGGCCAGGCAGGGCGCATGTGACCTCCTTCCAGAACCTACCTACACATTCCTTTTGCGTGGGGAGCAGCATTTACAAGCAGCATTGTGTGTAGGCCCTTCTCAAACATCCCTCCTTTCCGGGGCGGTGGGGGGAGGGTGCTACGGGAGAGGCAGGAACACCTTGTCTGTCTCTCCAGAGCTAGCCCATCGGGAATGATTAGCGCAGGCCCGTCCCACAGTGGGGCACCTTTGGAGGAGCGAGATTGCCCTTAAGTTAATCCCCGGACACCTCGGCATGGCCTCTTGGCATTTGGTTTTGTCCTGTCACAGCTTGAAGCTGGCTTTGATACCTTGTTGGTCCTCTCTTCCTGGCTACGGAAACACAGCGTACAAAGTGTGATCCTCTCCCAGACTCAGAAACTAGCATCTCCAGCAGCTCGCCCCAGCTGGGCCTCTGCCTCGCACTGTCATTCACGTCTTTCATGGCCAAGGGGAAGGCTGCACTTGTTACGGGCGTGTCACAAGGTCTGGGTTAGCTTCCACAAGCTTCAGCTTGAAGGCCCGGAGGTTTCTGTCCAAAAGTTTGTCGCTGTTCACAGGTGCTGGTACTGTTTGGCAGAGCAGTGAACATTTTCCCTCTGTCCTACCTCCTGAATTTCTTCCGTGATCATAAAATCACACCGAAGATGATGTTCATCATGTGGTTTAGCGGTAAGTCCACTGTTGAATGAACACTGGAAGGAAAATAGCTCTTATTAAGGGCACACACGGCGTAGAGAGTGTGTGTGGTCTCTGCTGGAGCGCGTTGAAACCAGGCACCCCTCATAAGGCAAAAACCATACCAGCCTCGGGCAAGTCCCTCACAGACAGTGCCCCTCACAGGCTCCGTGCTGCAAGACAAATGGGTAGTGTGCGTCTCTTCTACACATGAGGAAGCCCAGGTTCAAGGGCAAAGGACTTGCTTGGGTTCCTGTGATGACAGGTGGAGCCAAGGTTTCCTGTCCTGTTCGCGCTCCTCTCGACGGACGGGCAGTCCGGGGCAGGACGCGCAGGGGGCAGCCCGCACCTGCCTGTACGTAGTGAGGGGCTCAGAAAAAGGTTCAAGTTTAAACTCTTTCGTGCTACAGACCAGGTTCGGATATGCTTTTCATTCAGAGTTCTGAGAGTTGATTGGAACATTTTCAGTTTCTGTGCAAATTCCTGTACTCTTTAAAGGATAGGAATGATTTCATCTTTGGCTCCTGACGAACTGGATCCTTAGGCATCTTTAAATTTATTTTTGAGCAATACATCCAGTTCTTTGTACTTTCTTATTTAAATATTATAATTAAAATATTCTGTGTGGGTCGGGGTATAGCAACATGCTTTATAAGCTGTTTTCTATCCAACAGCCTATCTGTACATTTCTCGCAGATTTCTCTCCTCTTTCAAAAGGCCTTGTTTAAAATATATACATATGTATGTGTGTGTGAGGTATGTATGTAATGTTTAGCCAGAGGAACTTCTTTCTCAATCTTTTTTGCCAACGAGAAAAAAAATTTTTTGTAAAGTATTTGATCCAAGATCTTAAAAATCTCAAAATCTAAGGGATATATCAGATCCTTTACATGGTTGTGTGAGCAGTTTGGGAGGGGCAGGCATGATAAGAGACCTCTGTGGGGAATGGGGGTGCTGTTTTGAAGTGAAGAGCTGTTGGTCCCAGCTGTTGATGTTCCAGGCCATCCCAAGCCCTCTCTCCACACATGTTCACCCTCTTTCCTGGATCCTCAACCTCTGTCTCTACTGAGACAGCATCATTGAAACTCCTGAAGATTCTTCTCTTTCCCGGCAAAAAACCAGCAACTTCAACCATAATCCCTTCCGCACACCCCCTCCAGCTGCTTCCCATCTCCCATTGCAGCCAGACCTCCTTAAGTGGGCTGTCCTCCCCTGTTTTCTCTTCTTCCTCACTTCCTGTTCATGGGCCTGAACTTGGCCTTACCCGGGTCACCTAGCAACCTTTTGCAGCCAAGACCTGCACGGGGCAGCCTTTGTCCGGTCCACCTCCACGGCTTTGAGCTCCTTCTTCCCACCGACCTGCTTTCTGCCTGGAGACCCTCTTCCCTGGACCTCCAGGCCATGCTCCTGGTTGCCCTCCTTCCCTTTGGGTCTTCTCAGGTTCCCCTCCTCCTTTACCAACCCCTCAAACACTGGCATCCTCAGGACTCAGCCCCAGACCTGCTTCTGCTCTTTTGTTCTCACAAGCTCCCCAACCCTGTGGCACCAACGTCCATCAAGTTCCCACACTCCCAAAGCTGTTTGCTCTTAGATCTCGATTCGTGTCTAAATCCTCCTTCGACACTGTGAAGATCTCATTGTCTAGGACTGAATTTACCTTCCTGCCCAACCTCTTCTTTGCCCACGTCCCCTTCCACGGGAAACAGAATGTGGGTTACAGCAGAGGCGCGGCTAACTCAGCGCTTGCTGTGTGTACAGCTGTCCTGCGCCGAGCGTTTTGTCCTCCGGCCACCGACCTGGCAGGCCCTGTTTCTGGTCCCGTGTGACAGGTGGAGAGGTGGAGTTGAATCCGTCACTTCGGCCCGAGAGGCCTGGGGGAAAGCAGGGAGCCGGGGGGTGACCCCAGGAGCCAGACTCCAGACCTCATGCCCAGACCACCGTGCAGCACAGCCTCTTGGGACACCCTGCCGTCGTCCGTGCCCTTCCCTTCCCCGGCCACCCCACCTCCCACTCACCCCTGTGGCCTGTTGCTTCCACTCTCCGTGTCTCTCTCAATTCTGTCCCCTTTCTGTGTCCCCGTCTTGGGTGTGCACTGCCGCTGCAGTCAGACCCCCATCCTTCCGTGAGGCTCCAGCCTCCATGTCTCGTCAGACCCTTCGTGTGCCCTGCCCCATTCTCCCCTTCTTCGGGCGCTCACCATGGCACAAGCCCTTGTCTGGGGTCTCCCACCTGTTCCCTTCTGTGGGGCACCAGGCAAGCCGGGACGTTCCCCAGAAAGTGCTGTTTCCCAGCTCAGTGCAGCCCCTCAGCCCAGCCAGCCGCCACGCAGGGCAGCACAACCAGAAGCAAGGAAGACGCCATGATGCAGCTCTCAGCAGCCTCTGGCCCGCAGCAGAGCAGCCCCGAGCCTGTCGGTGCGGCCAGGAGCTGCTTAAGAGCAGCATCTTCAGAAACGAGGGGCCATTGGATAAATCGCCTTCTTTGCTGTTGCCTGGAACGCTGTGTGGCCCCGGGAGATGCATCCTTCCCTCAGTCTCGCTTCCTCATCTGCATGTGGTGGAGAATGGTAGGCCCTGCTTTACCAGCCGCCCTGTGAGGTTCCAGTGAGATTGTGCACACAAGAGCCCTTAGCACCGGGCCTGGCCACACGCACAGGGACGGCTCAGTCTGCACCAGCTGTCGGATTTCTAAAATGTGCGCGTTGGGCTGGACAAGTCCCCAGGCACGCACGCACGCACGCACACACACCTGGTGCTTCATGGCCTGGACGGGTCACCTCATTTGACCTACTCGGCCACCCCGTGAAGTGGAAATGGATGTGGTCAGACCCCACTTCTCTGCAGCCTGCTTTTCTCACACCCCAGAGCCTCACGGGAGGCGCTCACCCTCCACAGTAGGATGTGTTAGAACATTCGACTGGTGTGAGGCAGGGCTGGGCCCAGGTCCCCAGGGCTCCCAGTCAGTGACGCAGCTCCTCTCACCCCCCTCCCTGCCCCCAGGCCTGCGGGGGGCCATCCCCTACGCCCTGAGCCTGCACCTGGACCTGGAGCCCATGGAGAAGCGGCAGCTCATCGGCACCACCACCATCATCATCGTGCTTTTCACCATCCTGCTGCTGGGCGGCAGCACCATGCCCCTCATCCGCCTCGTGGACATCGAGGACGCCAAGGCGCGCCGCAGGAGCAAGAAGGACGTCAACCTCAGCAAGACCGAGAAGATGGTTGGTGCCGCGGGGGCCCGGGGCGGGGGCAGGGGCTTGGTCTCCACGGCAGCTGGGAAGTGGGGAAATGAGACACGATTTGAGGATCTCGGCACCTACACACACTCAGGAGGAAGTTGAACTCTCCAGTTCAACTGCGGCCCTTTGTGGGTTGTCTGTCCACAGAGGCCGTGGAGTGGGAGCACGGACCCACGTCAGGCTGTCCTGGCATCACCCTGTGGAAGGTTTTAAAGTCACGTCATCCCCCTCCCCGACAACATTTACTGAAAGCCTCCTGCTGGGGGCCTGAGGAGGGGAAGGTGCTTGCGGTGCCTTCCCCCAAGGACAGACAAGCGAGGTGTCCAGGGCCCAGCTGCAGTGAGCCGGAGGCTCCCAGATCCCTGCCTCCTCCCAGCCACCCTCCTGCCCCTGTGGCTGCCCCTGCCGGGCTGTCTGTCCCGGGCGTCAGCGGCGGTGGTGGCCTCCTTGCCCTGTGTTGACCCTTACTTAGGCCCCCTGTGCTGAGCCAGGCTCCCTGACAGGAGCAGAGGCTGGCCTTGGCCTCTCAGCCCACCTTCTGGCACCGCCCCCGCCCTCCCACCCCCAGTTCTAGAAATGCCTCTTTTTCTAGTTCCCTTATTTGAGGCCATCAGTAACTTTATTCAGTCAAGAAAAGCAGAGAAATCCTCAACCGGAAGACAGTGACGGGGACACAGCCCACTTTCCCACTGGGGAGCTCAGGTCTGGCCGGATCTTGGTCTCAGGCCTCTGTGTGGCCCTGGCCCGTGTCTCAGCCAAGGCCCTGCTGGGAGGAGGCCCTCGGGTGGTCACAGGCGGGTGATCACGGGTGGGGTTGGCTCAGTGGGACCTTCTCACTCTCAGAGGCCCGTCTCCAGCCACCCCCACCCCCCAACTTTCTGGTTTGTTCTTAACAACAGCCCCAGTACAGGTTCTCAGACCTTTCAGAGGGTGGCAGAATCAGTGGAGGGCTCCGGTCTTCCCAGGTCTGGGCTGCGGCCGCAGAGAATTTGCATTTTGAGCAGGTTGCCAGGTGCCGCTGCCCTGCGGGTCCCGCAGCCATGCTTGCTGAAGCCTGGCTCCCACGGAACCAGGATGCTCGCCCAGCGGAAGAGCAGCTGCTATTTAGGGAATGTTTTCTGCAGCATGGGCACTGTGGTTGTGCTCTCCTCGCACCGGTCTCAGGTTGCCCTGATAACCCACAGGAAGCAGGTGCTCTCTGCTCATCCCCATTTCGCAGACGAGAGTGCTGAGGCACAGAGGGGTCACGGACTCCATAGTCTGTGCTCTTCACCACCACGCTCTCCATCAGCACTCTCAAGGTGGAGGTCCCTGGATCGGCAGCTTCCCTGGGAACTTGTCGGAAATGCAAATTAGTGGGCCCCATCCCAGACCTGCTGAATCAGAACTCTGCAGGTGGGCCTGGGGGGGGCCAGCATTTTGTGGGTTCATAAGCCCTCCAGGTGATTCTCCCCGCCCCCTCCCACACCCTGCACCCGCTCCACCCCCAGGCCCCCAGTGGACCAGTGGAGACCACTTAGCTGTGGCTTCAGAGCCGCTCCTCCAGCCAGCCGCCAGGCAGATGCTACATTCGCACCCTGGTGGCCTTGGGTTGTCCCTGCAGGGGGTGGGGCTTTTCTGGGCCTGGGGCCTGGAGATGTGCTGGCGTTGACCCTGTAAACCGGAGACCTCCTCCCCCTTGCAGACCTGCCCTGCCACGGGGTAGCTGCTCTCATTCCTCTCCAGGTCCCCCCAGGATGGCCCCCCCCAACACACACACACACTGACAGGCTGGCCAGCGCCAGCCTGGAGCAGAACCCCAGCTAGTGCAACTGCCAGCAAAAATGACAGAAGGAACCCCCCTTGTTCAGTTTGCTGTGAATGAGATCATCCAGAATGGCAGTTCCCAGTCCTGCCTGCCCATTAGAATCACCTGGAAAGCTTACAAACCAAACCCCAGCCCACAAATAAATTCTGATTTATTCATAATTCTGATTTATTCCTGGGTATCCATCACGTTTTTATAAACCTTCCCACCTCCCTGTGGGCTCCCAGGAGCTGCTTTGCTGCCCACAGATGCCCTGCACTGATTCGAAAGCACAGTTAGGGTTGGGGACACAGGTGGCTGCTGGGTAGGCGGGGGGGGGGGGCAGTGTGTGTGCCCTGGAAGAGGCCGGCCGACGACCCTCGGACGACCTTCCCTCCCCATACAGGGCAACACCATCGAGTCAGAGCACTTGTCGGAGCTCACGGAGGAGGAGTATGAAGCCCACTACATCAGGCGGCAGGACCTCAAAGGCTTTGTGTGGCTGGACGCCAAGTACCTGAACCCCTTCTTCACGCGGCGGCTAACTCAGGAGGTGGGACGCCGGCGCGCACCACATGGCTAGGGGTCCCCGGTCTCCCTCCCCCAGGATCTGCAGGGGCTGACAGGGGGTGCGTGGGGGTGGGGCCAGCCAGGCTCGGCCTTCTTTCCAGGCTGGCAGCTGGATATGCTGTGGAACTCGGCATCTGCTGTTTTTCCTTCACTGCCGTTTTTAGTGCCGGTTTAATAATAGACTTGTGAACACAGTTGGGTTTTCCTGGATGATAGACGCAGGACATTGATCGGCTACTGAATCTGAGCTGAAAATTTCAAACATGCCGGGGCCTCAGGCAGTGGCCCACGGCTCAGGGCTCGTGTTCCATCCCTCCGGGGACTGCTGGCCTCTGGGCGACGGTGGATGACCCAGTCTCATCACTTCATTTCCGAGCCCATGTTCCCGCCCCGGCAGTCACGGTTGCTGTCAGCGTGGGAATTTCTCTTGCTTCGCTTCATCCTCCCAGCAACCTGTGTCGTAGCTGCAGCTGCGCTCTCACCAGACAGCTGGGGAGACCAAGCCCCAGAGAGGTGCAGTAACCCCCCAAGGTCAAACAGCCAAGACACGGCAGAGGTGGGAGCAGAGCCCTGTTTTTTAACATCACACCAGCCAGCCTCCTGCTGCTGTCTCTGAGTGACGCCTCCTGTTCTCTTCACCCCCATGGAGAAAAATCCCAGCTTGAGCTGGTTGGTTAGCACTTGGAAATTGCCTGTGGCCACGTGCCCCTTGGCCCGTCTCCCCTACACCCCCGCGAGGTACACAGCAGCTCCCCTGTCCCTCGGCCCTGACCCAGACCCACTGACGAGGCCCTGGTTGTGTCTCCTGCTCCAGGACCTCCACCACGGGCGCATCCAGATGAAAACCCTCACCAACAAGTGGTACGAGGAGGTGCGCCAGGGCCCCTCCGGCTCCGAAGATGACGAGCAGGAGCTGCTGTGACGGAGCAGGGCGCCCCGTCCGGCCTCCTCGCGGCTCCCGCGACGGACGCTCGCATGTGGCAGCCTCTTCAGGGGAGATGGAAACAGGGGGAAGTGAAGGCCGTCCCTGGCTCTTGGAGCCGGCCGTCTGCTTCTGAAGTAGGTCATGTCCCCGGCCTGAACGGAGCCAGACCCCTTCTCAGCCCGCAGATCGGAGGGAACAGCTGTCCAGGTACACCTTCCTTCCGCTTCTGCGGCCGGAGTGCAGAGTCCTCTGCTGGACTGAGGGGCCTCAGAAGAGAGGCCATGCCCCGCTGTGGAGCCTGCCGTGAGCGGGGCTGCTGGGGAGCTGGGGAGCTGGGGGAGCTTGCAGCTTCTGCCATTCCCACCCACGGCCTTCATCACGGGAGTGCCTGTTCTAGCAGCGCGAGGAGCCAGCCGCCATTTCCCTTTGGTCATCGAGGTGCCTCTGGTCTCAGCAGCAGCAGTTCTGACCCAAGGGGCGGGCTCGGGAATCTGGGAAACCTCACGCTCCCCTTTGTGATGTTGCTTGAGAAGGAAAAACCGAGTGACCTTTTCCTTTACCTCCGCCTGGGACCTTGCAGGCCATCCCCCCTGAGTGACAAGCGGCCACTGCCCTCCTCTGGGAGTAGTGTGAATGTTTACCCTGGTTCGGAGCAGGGGCACACAGGCCCCTTGGAAGCCTGCATCCTTGGGTTTCTGGGGGTGAGCGAGCCTATTCTGTGGGGTGAGCGCGCCCTCTGGAGGGAGAAGCTAGGAGTTACAGGGCTTGCGGAGGCCTGCATCTGCTGTCTGAATTCCGTTTTAATTCATGCCCTCTGACAAAGCAGTGAGAGCCCGGCAGTCACCTCCCCCGCTCAGTGGACCTCCTTGGTCCAGAGGCCCCATTTCCTAATGCCCACTGTTCGCCTGCTGCCACCTTCACTGCTAATCAGCATTTCCTCTTTCCCTGCCCCAGGTCTGTCCCGGCTCGGGTCCCGGCTCCGGTCCCAGCTCGCCAGAGCCCTGGGGCCGGGGCCAGAGTGTGCTCCTCCCCAGCCGCCCCCGCCCAGGACCCGCTCGCGGAGCGTCTGTGCTCGCTCTTTCCGTCTCACACTGCCCGCCCCGTCCCTGTGGGCCTGGCCCCGGCTACCTAGGGTGAGGAGCTGCCCGTCATGTCCAGGCGGAGTGGAGTTACTGACTTTCGCCTCCGCTCCTCCCCTGCCCTTAATAAACCTCGTCCCTGCAAGCCACAGGGCCAGTGGCAACTCCCCTAGGTGGCTCGGGGTCGCTGCCTGGGGTGGCTTAATTCGTCATGTGCATGTCCGTGGTTCTCTGGAGGGACGCGGCGGGCCAGCACAGGCCCCGGGCTGACAGCACATACGTCTCCATCTGTTCTGCCTCAGGCAGCGTGGCTCTGTCTCTCAGGAAGGACTGATTTCGGAGCCCACCAGCCCAGACCCATTTCCCCGAAGTATGAGGCCGGTCAGGCAGGAAGCACGTGGTTTCCTTTTTATGCATGAAAAGTAAATCTGTACTTGATAGGGTTAAAATATGGTCAGTTGTCTTTTTGTAACCTCCCACTTTAACCCCATAATTTAAGCCAAATAGGAGTATTTTACTCCACCTAAGACCTTCACTTGGAGGAGTAATACCATCCATAATTCTGGTCTCCATCATTTCCTACTTAATTTTAGGGGAAAAGTAAGAGAAGAGGTCAAAGAGGGAGGGAACCTTTGTCCACACCTGGTGAGGTCTTGACTAGAGCGTTCCCCAATCCATAAGTCATTTACCTTCTCCTTTGAAGTTCAGGATCTGAGCTCAGAAGTGTAACTTGCGTGGCAAACTCAGTAGTTTACCAGAAAATTTGGTGGGGCGGGGGCTATGAATTCACAGATAAAGCAGTGAAAACAGGATCTTTTCAATTCAGACTGCCCCTTGCCACCAGGTCCCACCTGGCCTCCTACTTTTAGCTGAGACCTGAAAATGACCCTGTGGTAGAGTCCCCGAGGTGGAAGGTCCCCAAGGCCTGGCTTAGTGGGCAGGGGGCACCTTTCCTCGCAGGTCCCAGCACCAGCTTGGGTTCCCGTGAGCCTCTTCTGCCCCCTGCTGAAGGGAAGCTTTGGTGGGCTGGAGCGCATTCCCACGGGGACAGGGGCAACCCGTGCTCCTCAGGTCTGTCTCTTCACCTTTGCCACAGGCAGAGCCCATGGCGATATATTTTTCTGGTGGATTTTTTTCAGGTGTCTTTGCCTGAGAATCAGAAATTTGTTGCTGTCTACCTTAACATACCTAATAATTCTACTATATGGGGCAATAAATGCCTACTAGATAAAAAAAAAATACTCAGCATAACTACGATTTCCCACAGATTTATTTCCTTCTAGGTCTAGGCCATGGGAGAGCTGTAGCACATAGACCAGGTCATACTTCGGAGGGCAGTGAAGGCTCTGAAGTGTGTGAGCGCCTGTGGGGAAGCTGGACGGCTAGCCCGTGAACTCAGAAGACGTGCTGGTCTTGGGGAGCCATGTGGTGACAAGCCGCACACCCAAGGCTCCCCCTGCAGCCCTGTCGTTGTAGGACTCCTGGGAACAACCAAACCCCGAGGCTTGCGGTGTGGGGTGTGACAGGGAAAGGAGCTGGCTTGTCCTAGGTCCCCAGAGATCAGGGTTTAGGCTGGGCTGAGCCAGGGCCAGGCAGAAAGAAGGTGGCTCAGTTCCATGGTCGGGTGCTCAGACACTCAGCCCGAGGGGAGAACAAAAAAACCTCCCGCACCCAGGCCAGCTACCTTGCTTCACAGTGGAAATGCTGGCCAGGCCTTGGCTGACAGAAGGCCAAGGGGCAGGGCCTGGCCCAGAATGGTGGCCGCCCCGGAGTACCCCCCGTCGGCCTAGGGAGGCCCTGGTTTGCCTGCAGATTCCTTGGTGCACAGTGAAGTGTGGAAAGATGGGTGAGCGGGGATCCTCCTGTCCCTGAAACCTATGTCAGAGGTGCCGTCGGCAAGACTTGGCCCTGTGAGGTCTCAGGTCCACCTGCGCACAGGGGCCGGGGCATTTGGCAGGGTCCTCGGCGGCTGGCCACAGCCGCTTCCGCTTTGGTGGAGCGAGTGAGGGTGGCACAGGGTGGTGGCCGGCTTCCCAGCTAAGTCATGGATGTCACAGGTACAAGCCTCAGAGCTGGGCCGTGCTTCAAGAGCAAGGAAGAATCGGCAGCAATGATCTGCCGTTATTCGGGCTTCAAATGCAGAGAAAGGGCACCCACCGCCCCCCACCACCCCCCCGCCATTGCCACGTGTCTCCCGCCGGCCGGTGGTGTAGGAAACCCACCCCGACCCATGTTCCCAAGCAGCCCGCGCCCTGAAGCGCTGTGCTCCCAGCGCCTCGGTCTCCAAAGCCCCAGCCAGGACTGTCTTAAATGAAAACGGCCCCAGTGAGAGGATTCCACCCCGGTGCCTGCTGTCTCACGCAAGCGGAGCTGGACGTTCCGGAGCTTCCACTGCCCTTGGCCACGAGACCAAAGAAGGCCGGCTTGACAGTCCCCCCGGGGCCACCCCATTTCTTGGCCCTCCCCGCCCTCTCACTGGTGAGCTGACTGGTCCGTGTGTGAGCCTCCGGGCAAGAGCAAGCGCACCTGTCACCGACATAGGCCCTGCGGAAGAGTCCCTTCTGGAAGCCCCAGGCCTGCTCTGCCGCTCTTCCTCGCGGCCGGGCTCCGAGGTTCGTGGCTCCCCCCAAGGCTGGAACAAGGTCTCCGATGCGGCCCCGGCCAAGCTTGATCTGCTCTTTGTATTCTTCCAAGTGATTTTCTTTGTAAAAATGAAGGGTTGTTTTTTAAGTACTGCTTTTTTATTTGTTTTAAGGACCTTTAGGAAGGTCAGGCTTATTCTCTGTCCTCCCCCATGTAAGTTGTGAGGTGTTGGTTAGGTCCTGGTTCCTGAGAAATGATTTGCTGCTCTTCGGGATGGGGCTTCAGAGGGGCTGGGTCCGGGACAGGGTACCCGCAGCTGCTGTGCTGGAGCCCCCGCTTCATTTCACTGGACTCTGCCAAGAATGCAGAAATGACTGGAAAACTGTAATGTCACTGGATACTTATTTAGAAATAAAAGTGAATGCTGCTGGATCAGAGGCAGTTTCTGTGTTTGTTGGTTCAGGTGGCAAATAGCATGGGTCACACACTCCTGGACTCAGCTCTGTGTCACCGCCTACCGGACTCGGGGGGAGGGGGCGGGGCGGGGCCGCCAGCAGCAGACGTGTTGCCTGAGCCGTGCAGTGGGCTTCGGATCAGGCAGGCCTGGGCCTATTCCTACCCTTGCCCCTTAGTGAGGAGCACGTGAGGCCAAGTGGAAGGGTCTAGCACAGGCCCGGCTTCCAGCCAGCCCACAGCTGCAGCCGCCTGCAGGTGCCAGGAATCCATCCTCCCCAGGACTCCCTGGGCTGCTGGTCTCCTGCTGCCTAGGGTTGCAGATGAGCCCCCATGCGCCCCTGCCAAGCTGTGGAAGCAGGAACACACGGGTCCATCCCCAGGTTCTGAAGCCACACAGCCGCAGGAGTCTCTGGTGGAAGGTGGTGCTGGCATTCTCCGTGGGAAGCCTGCAGCCTCCGTTTAGTTTTACCCCCTCATTCTTCCAAAAGGCATCCAAAGCTGCTTATGGTAACAGGCACAGACAAAAAAAGAAATACATGGAATAGAAAGCGAAAGCAGGTAGGACAGCCTGTCCTGATCCCAGGCCTGGGCCTGATGGCAGGGAAGCCAGTGCTGGCCCTTAGTTCCTTCCAACCCTGCAACTCATCCCATTCCCGTTCCCCCAGCCAAAGAAGGAAGTGGGGAGAATATATCCCACCTGGGACCCTACCTGTACCTGCGCTGCGAAACCAGGTGCCCAGACCGTGCCGGGGTCAGGCAGGGAGCCAGGTGGGGAGCCAAGGCTGGGTGTGAGGGACACGTGGCCTGCCTTCATCGGCTCCCTTTTCCACCTTTGAAGAGACCTGGGTTCAGAGAAAGATTTCTCTACATAATAAAACTTTGTGAGTGTGATGACAGGTGGCAGTGGAACGATGGGGACCCTGGCAGAATCTTCTCAGGCTGTCACTGGCTGCAAGGGACGCTGGGCAATGGAGTTGTGCCAAGCAGACTGTCCTGATAGTAAAAGGAGAATGGATCCCAAGTGGCACCTGCCAGAGGGAACTGGTATTTTTCGTTCACATTTCAACCCTCTTCTCCACTCCTAGAAGAAGCACTCAGGGTGGAGGGGAGCGAGCCAGGGAAGTTTTTCCTTAAAAGGCCAGAAAGCTCTGGGAGACAGCCACACACAAAGGTGAGGGCTCCACGATCCCTAGTACATCACGTGCAACAGAAATAACTGGTACGATACAAATTCGTGAAGTGAGACAAACAGATTCCAAAACAATAATATATAACGTTAGCCCCTAACAGTTAATGGTGTGTGTATAAATAGGAAAAAAATCTGGAATGACAGGTGCCAAGTTTTAACTTTGGTTCTCTCTGAATGGAAGGATAATGGGTAACTTAAAACATGCTGTTGTTTGTATATATTTTCTGTCTTTCATAAAGCATGGTTATTCAGTGCTCAGGAACACACTGCCTGGTACCTTCATGTTTCATAATGTGATTACACATGAAACCACAGCTGGAGCTGGGCAGTAAGCAGAGAGCTTTGATGGGATAGAGCACTAGTCTGTCGTCTGGTCGGAGTCCACTTTGAAGAGCGTCTGGCAATGCCTAGTAGAGTTAAAGACACCTGTCACCCTTCAACCCAGGAATTCCGCTCCTAGGAGAGCAAGCAGGAGCAGACACTGCCTGCGGACCAAACCCTGCCTCCTACCTGCTCTCTGTACTACCAGAGAGTGAAGAATGGCTTTTTTTTAAAGATTTTATTTATTTACTTATTTGACAGAGAGAGACACAGCGAGAGAGGGAACACAAGCAGGGGGAGTGGGAGAGGGAGAAGCAGGCTTCCCGCCGAGCAGGGAGCCCGATGGCAGGGCTCGATCCCAGGACCCTGGGATCATGACCTGAGCCGAAGGCAGATGCTTAACGACTGAGCCACCCAAGCGCCCCAAGAATGGCTTTTAACTTCCCCAAATGGTTGAAAAAAATTTCAAAAGAATATTTCATGACCTGAAAACTACATGAAATTCAAATTTCAATGTCCATAAATAAAGCTTTAAATTTTTTAATTAAAAATTTATGGAAGGGGGCGCCTGGGTGGCTCAGTTGGTTAAGCGTCTGCCTTTGGCTCAGGTCATGATCCCAGGGTCTTGGGATCGAGTCCCCACATGGGGCTCCCTGCTCAGCACGGAGCCTGCTTCTCCCTCTCCTCCCCGCTCATGCTCTCTCTTGCTATCTCTCTCTCAAATAAAAATCTTTTTTAAAAAACGTATGGAAATTTTTTTCTCTCGTTATGTAAGTACCTACATAACTTTTCTTTTTCCTCTTGGCTCCTGAAGCCGAAAATATTCACTACCTAGCCACTTACAGAAGCCTGCCCACCCCTGCCCTAGAAAAATTCTTACACGTTCTTGCACCAGGAGACACCCGTGAGAATATTTGCAGTAGCACCTGATTGGAAACAAGCTAAATGTTCCTCACCAGGAGAGCAGGTAAGCTGTGGCACAGTCACGGAACGTACTCTGTGCAGCAGTGAGCGGGTGGATGAATGTACGAAGCTACAATGAATTATCAACACGGTTAAATCTCAGAACATTGAGAGGCGCGGAGAGCAAGCTGCAGGCAAGTACAGAATGATGAGCACCTACAAAACCACGCAAAACCACAGGAGAGGACGATGCTTTAGGATGCGGACAAGCGCGGTGAAAGAATGAAAAAAGGCTGGAAAGGTCAGCACCGGGAGCAGGGGCTCGTCCAGGGCAGGGAGGGTAAAGAACTGCACTGGAACTGCATTACCCCCGCCCCGGCTTCCCATGTAGCTCGGATGTCTCATTTACTAACGGAGTTAGTTAATCCCACCTGGAAACTTGCAAACAAGAGCCTCAGCTCGGCCCTGCTCTGTGGGGGGTAACTGAGCCTCTCTCCAAGGGGCCATGACTCCCTCCTCTCAGTCAAGATTGGGTCTGGTCATAGGTGGCAAAATTAAAAGCAGTAATGGCTTTCCTAGAGTCCTTGAGAACCAGGACTTAACAGAAAAAGATAGATGAGGTTAAGTAAAAATCCTATGGTCCTGGGGCAGGCCCCTGGGTGGCTCAGTTGGTTAAGCAACTGCCTTCGGCTCAGGTCATGATCCCGGGGTCCTGGGATCGAGTCCCGCATCGGGCTCCCTGCTCAGCTGGAAGCCTGCTTCTCCCTCTCTCACTCCCCCTGCTTGTGTTCCCTCTCATGCTCTCTCTCTGTCAATTAAACAAATAAAATCTTTAAAAAAAAAATCCTATGGTCCTGAATGTTCATTTAAAGTATAAGTATGGGGGCCCCTGGGTGGCTCAGTCGGTTAAATATGTGCCTTCGGCTCAGGTCATGATCCTGGAGTCCTGGGATCCAGTCCCACATTGGGCTCCCTGCTCAGCGGGGAGCCTGCTTCTCCCTCTGCCCCTGACCTGCTCATGCTCTCTCTCAAATAAATAAAATCTTTTAAAAAAATAATAGAAAATAAGGTATAAGTATGAACTTATATGTATTTTGTTTTTTGAACAATGTAAGCTCTGTTCATTGAAAAGACAGTAACAATAATGTAAAGAACTAAAATACTTAAAATATACTGAAATTAAAATATAGATATGGAACGTACTCTGCTGAAATCAATGAGTTAATACTTTAAAAAAATTAGTCACTGTTGGGGTACTCTGAGGCATCAACTCATTAAGTAAAAATTAAGGCAGAGAGGGGTACCTGGCTGGCTCAGTTGGTAAAGCATGTGACTCCTGATCTCAGGGTTGTGAGTTCAAGCCCCACGCGGCCTAGAGCTTACTAAAAAAAGTAGTAATAAAGGCAAATAATTAAGGATTTATCTCATTTAAACTACTCCTGGTAGTCAAATAGTAGCTAAAAGAAGTTTCTTTTTTCTTTTAAAAAAATAATTATAAACTTACAGGAAGTTGCAAAAAATAATACAAAAAGGTCCCATGTACCCTGCACCCAGTAATAATGTCTTGCACAAATACAGAACAATATCACAACCGGGAAACTAACATTAGTACAAGCCACAGACCTTGTTCAAATTGTATCCATTTTACATGTGTGAGAGCGCGCGCACGTGTGTGTTTAGTTTATACAATTTTATCACATGTGTAGAGTCACACCACCACAAAGAAGTTTCCTTTTAGAGAAGTGTTCCAGGGGCGCCTGTGTGGCTCAGTCATTAAGCAGCTGCCTTTGGCTCAGGTCATGATCTCAGGTCCTGGGATCGAGCCCCGCATCAGGCTCCCTGCTCAGCAGGAAACTGCTTCTCGTCTGCCTGCTGCTTTCCCTAGTTGTGCTCTCTCTCTCTCTGTCAAATAAATAAAATCTTAAAAAAAAAAAAACTTATAGGGCGCCTGGGTGGCTCAGTTGGTTAAGCGACTGCCCTCAGCTCAGGTCATGATCCTGGAGTCCCGGGATCAAGTCCCGCATCGAGCTCCTTGCTCAGCAGGGAGTCTGCTTCTCCCTCTGACCCTCTTCCCTCTCGTGCTCTCTGTCTCTCATTCTCTCTCTCTCAAATAAATAAATAAAATCTTTAAAAAAAAAAAAAAAGAAGTGTTCCAGTTGCCAAAGGAATACTAGAATTGGAATCTCTACATTTTGCAGCATCCAATGAAATGGCTGATCTAAGCACCAAACAATAGTCCTAATGGCTGTTACTATCCCAAAGGGAGAGAATTCAACATCACGTGCGTCCTGATGAAGGAACACAACATCTATGAAGTATTCTTATTCCCCAAAAAATCAAACCCAAATCTGAGCAAGCCTCAAAAGTCAACTACCAAGTGATGTACATTAATAGAATGAAGGACAAAAACCACATGGTTGCCCCAACTGATGCAGGAAAAAAAAAAGTGTTTAACAAAATTCAACACACTTTCATGATAAAAACACTCAACAAACTAGGAATAGAAATTACCTCAACATAATAAAGGTCACATATGAAAATATATGTGCCACAGCACACATCATACTCAATGGTGAAAGACTGAAAGCTGTTCCTCTAAGATCAGGAACAAAGCAAGGATGCCCACTCTTGCCACTTGAATTCAACACAGTACTGGAAGACTTAGCCAGAGAAATTAGGCAAGAAAAAGAAATAAAAGGCATCCAAATTGGAAAGAAAGAAGTAAAACTGGATCTATTCTCAGATAACATTATCTTATATGTCGAAAACCTTAAAGATTTCACACACACACACACACACACACACACACACACACACACACACACACAACCCTGTTAGAACTAACAAATGAATTCAACCAAGTTACAGAATATAAAATTAACACATTAAAAAAATCAGTTGCCTTCTATCCATACACAATGAGCAATCTGAAAAGGAAATTATGAAAACAATTCCATTCACAATAGCATCAAAAAGAATAAAATACTTGGAAATAAACTTAACCAAGGAAGCAAAAGACTTGTACACTGAAAACTATAAAACATTACTGTAAAAAATTAAAGAAGACACAAATAAATGCAAAGACATCTTGTGTTCATGGGTTGGAAGACTTAATATTATAACAACGTCCATACGACCCAAAGCAATCTACCAATTCAATGCAATCCCTATCAAAGGCCCAATGGCATTTTTGCAGAAATAGAAAAAAACAGTCCTAACATTTACATTGGATCTCAAGGGCCCCTGAGTAGTTGAAACAATCTTTAAAAGGACAATGTTTGACTCCTTACACTTTCTGATTTCAAAACATATTACATACAAAGCTACGGTATCAAAATACTATAGGACTGGCATAAAGAAAGACTTATAGACCAGTGGAACAGAACAGAGCCCAGAAATAAACCCTCACGTATATGGTCAAATGAGCTTCAACAGGGGTGTCGAGAACACACAACAGGGTATGGACAGTCTCAACAAATGGTGGTGGGGAAACTGGATATCCAAACGCAGTTAGAAGTTAGACCCTTACCTTATGCCACATATAAAACATAACTCAAAATGGACTAAAGGCCTAAATGTAAGACCTAAAACTATAAAACTCCTAGAAGAAAACATAGGGAAAAGTTTCAGGACAGGATTTGGCAAGGATTTCTTAGACATGATGCCAAAAGCACAGGTAACAAAAGCAAAAGTAGACAAATGGGACCACAACCAACCAACCGTGCCTCAAAAGGAAGCCCCCTCTGCCGCTAAGGCAGCCTCACCCACACCTCCCAGCCCCCACCCCACTCGAGCCACTTTCCCATCCCTCCACCTGCCTCAGCCTCAGTAAGGGGTTCCCCAAAGCCAGCTAGCTGAAGGCTGCCTGTAAACTGAAGATCGTCCAGGCACTGGGACTTCTCAGAAACAAGGTGTTCTCCTGTGAGTGAATTTCAGTTTCTCTTTCCTTCTCAGCACAGGTCCAGAGAAGGGACTTGTGGGATACCCTGTCTCTGCGGCTCAGGCAGCCTCACCCAGATCCACGTGCTCACCTGGTTCAGGACTGGCCCCACCTACGTATGCCGGTCCCGTCAAGTGGAGATTCCAATTTTCATTTGCCTTTTCGCTTTACATACATCAGCCGGGGTTGCCCAGTGAGCCTGGCTAAAAGCAGAGCCATGCAGCAGGGAAAGCGGTGGGGATCCAGCCATGGCGACAGTGTGGGTCCTGGTGCTGGTGACCGTGGTGCTGGGCTTGGCCGGAGCAGGCCCTGTCCCTACTTCCAAACCCACCACAACCAGGAGGGACTGCCACATGGACAGGTTCCAATCTCTGTCACCGAGGGAGCTAGGAGCCTTCAAGAAGGCCAAGGATGCCTTAGAGGAGTCGCTTTTGCCCAAGAACTGGAGCTGCAGCTCTCGCCTCTTCCCTAGGACCAGGAACCTGAGGCTGCTGCAGGCCTGGGAGCGCCCCGTGGCCTTGGAGGCTGAGCTAGACTTGACGCTGAAGGTCCTGGGGAACATGGCGGACTCGTCCCTGGGGGTCGTCCTGGACCAGCCCCTCCGCATGCTGCGCCACATCCACTCCGAGCTCCAGGCTTGTGTCCCGGCTCAGCCCACAGCAGGACCCAGACCCCGTGGCCGCCTCCACCACTGGCTGCACCGGCTCCACAAGGCCCCAAATGAGTCCCAGGACTGCCTTGAGGCCTCCATCACGTTCAACCTCTTCCGCCTCCTCAGACAGGACCTGAAATGTGTTGCCAGTGGAGACATGTGCGTCTGAGAACCTGGACCCACCCTCAGCCCATCTGGGACCCAGACCTTATGTAGGCACCAAGCCTCACCCCTGCCTTAAGTTACTTCCTCTCCATCCCTTATTTATGCAGCCCTGCTCCGTACCCATAAGAAATGTTTATTTTTCTACTTGTGTACAACGTGCAGCAAATAAACAGGAATAAGAAGAAGAAGAAGAAGAAAAGCCACTACTGTGAAGACTGAGAGAAGAGAGGAACGTGTTAAACAACAGTGCGGACTGCAATGAGCAAAACACAGCCTCTGGCAAACTTGAAAGGACTAAAAATCCAGCTTAACAAAAACATTTCAAAGGGAAAAAAAGACAAAGTTGGGGTCTCTACACTCTTACAGGGACAGCCTTTAGGGTAAAGATGATGTAAAGATGTATCCACCAATTGCAGCGTGGAGACCTTATTTGAGCCCTGATAGAGTTTTTAAAATATGGATTTCTATGACAACTGGATTTCAGAACATTGATTGCATATGTATCGCTATTAAACAATTCTAAAAACTTAGACGAGATAACGGTATGTATGGTGTTTTAAAAGTCCTTGTCTTGGGGCGCCTGGCTGGCTCAGCTGGAAGAGCATGGTGATTCTTGACCGCGGTCGTGAGTTCAAGCCCCGCACTGGATGTAGAGATTGCTTAAATAAATCTTTAAAAACATAAAAGATAAATAAAAGTCCTTGTCTTTTAGATACACATACTGAAATTTCACAAATGAAATAGCTAACTGGAATTTGCTTCAAAGAAATTTATGAGGGAAGTGGATGGATGGGTAGAAAGGAAACCAGGTTGGCTGCAACTTGGTAACTGTTACAAATTGTTGAATCTGGGTTCAGTGTACATGACATTTGTAAATAAAAAGGTTTCTTCAGTGAGAAAATGGGGGAGGGGATGTGGTTTAAGCGAGGTAATAGTTCATTCCTCCTTACACAAAAACTCTGGAGGTAGGCAGGGCAGGCTGGGTACGGTGGCGGCTTCCTAAGCATCAGGGACCCGGCCCCTTCCAACTGCTGCCCCACCCTCCCCTTCATCTGGCTTCGGCCTCCATCTCACATCGCTGCTCCACTCCAGCCAGCACATTGCAGCCAGGAAGGAGGCTCGGGGTGGGAAGGACAAGATCCTTTGACAGACAGGTCTCGGAAGCCACACAAACCACTTCTCCGTCCCAGCGACCAGACGTAGCCACATAACCACGCCTGGCTACAAGAGAGACAGGGAAAGGCAGTCTTTATTCTGGATGGCCATGTGTCTTAAAGAATCAGGGCCAAGGGAGAAAGGGTGAGAGATCAGGGTTCAACTGGGAGCGTCTGCCACAGCCCTCATCCCTCGGAGACTGGTAATCAGGCGTGAGGGGTGCCACGGACAGGCCTCGAGGCTGGCAGCAGAGCCAGGGACAGCTGGTGGGCCTGATGATGTTAACTGTGCTTGTCATTTCCATCCACAGATGAAGCAATCTGCTCCCAAGTCAGCGCTCTGCTTTGGATGCCAAGTGAGGGTCTGGCGTCCTCGGCTCTCCCGGGCCGGGTGTGTGTGTCTCCAGGAAGCCGCCGTGCCCAGCACTGCCATTCCCTATGCTGTAGCTAACAGCAAACCCAACACTTACGTGGGCCTTGGTCTGGCCCGAGGCCTGGATGATTTGTTCGCCAATGCGTGAGAATAGAGAAACCTGCTTCCTCTCTCCCCGGTAGCTGAGGTACCTTGTAGGGGCCAACCCAGCAGTGGTCACCCTCATGCAGAGACTCTGCAGCTACTGAGAGCCCGGATGTCCTAAACCACAGCTGCTCTTAGACCATGCTCAAGATTTTTGCCATGCGTCCCGCTTTCAGGTCAACCTTCCTTTGAGAAAACACTTCAATTGATTTTTGAAGTCATCTATCATTGCTGTAGATGGAAAGCAGTATGGCCTGCTCCAGGTAGAAGGCAACCGAACACCTCGCTAAGATTCTGCCTGAGGCTCCGTGCCCAACACCTGCTTCCTCTTTGGTCAAGACAAGCTAGCATTGAACGAACTTCCTCCTTAAGGCATCTAAATGGATCAAAAGAATTAAAGATGTAATTAATTTTTGTCATTATGTCCTCCAATGTTATTCAATGCCCGCCAATCACCACCAACAATCATTTCTCCTGGAGTCTGTACTCCCAGTCCTGAGAAGAATGGCTGAACTTTGCACATCTCAGTTTCCCCATCTTTAAGATGGGGATAACACGACCTAGCTTACAGGAGGGCTGACACCGTTACGTGGAATCATGCACGTAAAGTCCCAGCATAACCCAGCTCACAGTGTGAGCTCTCAAATGCAGAATGCCGCTTGTTGTCACGTATGTGTTTTGTGGAGGAGAAAATGTGAGTCCTGTCATTGAAGAATGTGGTTTGAGCAAAACAAAAAAATCCAAGCAACCCAAACTTCAAAAGCAGCAGGGAGGGAGGGACATAAAACCCCAAACACTTGGTTTAATAATGGAAGACACTTTATTATTTTTTAAATCATCTCTCAACATTTCAACTCTTGGTAGAAATCAAATGCAAAACATATGCCTTTTTAAATTAGCATATATTTATCCAGCTCAATCACAGCAACCTCATACAGTAAGGTACACACCAAGGACAGGGGCAGAGCATTTTCTCTTCCAGTCTGTGAACACAGTTATCTCCATGATGGCACGTGTGCCGGACTTTCTCTCCCAGGACGAGGTGGGTACTCCTGCTTCAGCCCCCTGGGGGCACAAGTGACCTGGCATCACGGTTGGTGAAGTTCCTGTAGGCTGGAGCAATCTGGGAATGGAAAACTAGCAAACTAGCCCTCTCAGGAGTAAAACAGGCATCGGTACTTCTGAAACGTGGAAAGGAAGAACATCAAAGATGATGACCCCAGAACGGGCTGGTCTTGGTAATAAAGGTGGTGAAATCCAGCTGTATATACACATCGAATATCTACATGTGCTCTACCAGATATGTAAAAAAGAGCCAGAGAAGATTTGGAAAACCTTAAAATCACTCGACTGAGTTGGAAGAACATCAGCAAATTCACAGTGGCCTCAGGATTCAGCCAGATTTAAATTTGTTCAAGCGCTGAATACCTCCTTCTACTACCAGAAAACCCACTGCATGTAAATTCCTATAATATTCTGTACATCACAAACACATATGGCTAAAATATAGTAGTTCACAAGGAAGCGGTTTTATTTTCAAATTCTTGCCCCACTCCTGCTCTGCACCCCAAAAGGAAAATCCAGGGGTCATTCAGAGTTAAAGGGGCCTTCAGGTTTAGAAGCACTGAGGCTTAGCTGAGTATCTCAGGAGACATCCGTTTGATGGGCACAGGCTGACTCGGGCCCACTTTTAGTGCAAAAAAGATCACTGATGTTGCAGAGGAGTCCCAGAAACAGGCAAAGAGCGCTGGGATGGAGGGGCGGGGGGAATCCCATAGGATTTTCCTTCTGAAACAAGACTCAAGACGTTCGGAGTGCGAGGTTCACACGCAGCGAGTGGCAAAGACCAGGCTGTCGACCTGCAGAGCGAGGCTCCTGAAGGTCCCTAGGTTATTGTGGTTCCGCAGGCGCACGGACCTCCCGGCCCGCGCTAGCCCCTAAGCGTACGCTGGAGGTAGGTGTATAGAGATTTATTGTAGGGAAGACAGTGGCTCTCCACCGACTCCGGGACATCGTCTGCTCCTCCTTTGCCCCCACACTCTCCGCTCCACCCTCAGGCTGTGGTGTGTGTAGGATACAACACGGAAGGGCATGAGACCCTCCCTTGGAAGACTAAAGAACCCGGGCCGTTTGTATAAATAGCTACATAATTCATGTTTGAACCACTTTGAAACACACGGCAAGTTGAATATTTATTTAAAAATAAATCTCAAAAATATCTATTTACAGTACAGTAAGAGGGGCGTGTGCAAACAACAGAAAGGGGGAACAGTCCACCCTGCCATGGAAGGCCCGCACCTGGATGCGCCAGGGCAAAGTGCACGGACACCACGGGCCGAACCGAGCGGTGGTAACAGGATGCCATTCAGGGACGACTGGACTCTGCCCACCCTTGAGACTTACACAGGCAGAAGTCAGCGGGGTAGGGGAGTCCAGGCGGGGCTCCTTGCGTTTGGGAAGGGGGTGGCCAAAGGATGAGCCATGGGAAGAGGCCCAGTGTGGCAGGAGGGCTCATTTCACAAGCCAACAGGCCTCTAGCTCGGCGCTCCAGGTGGGCATTCGGAGGTGACCTGGAGGGCCCTCCCCAGTCCAAGTTGGCTTTGCAGTGGGAGGGGTGGGTGTGACAGGGGTCTCAGAGATAGAAATCCTCTTCGAAAACAAAACGAACAACGGAACAGGGAGTGGAGAGATTAGCAAAAATGAATCTGAACGGAAGTGCCACCCTCCCCCTCGTCCGGCGATAAAGCAGCCGTCAGTTGAAATATGTGGGCCACCAAGTGAACTCCCACATGGTGCAGCCAAGCCCCGATCCCCTGACACCTACATGGTCAAACGCAGGTCTCTGCTTCTGAGATCAGTACACTAACACTTCTTCCCCGGAGGGGACCAGAGAGTCAGTGGTGTAGCCCTTGGAGCAGGGGTGCAGGGTCCAGTCTATCTATACACGAGATGGGAGAGCTGGGTGGACTTGTAGTTCAGCTGGTTGTTGGGCATGAACTTGTGCAGCTCATTCTTTTTGCAGCAGGGGTCGTAATGGTAGGCGCTGACACAGCCGTCGCAGGAGACTTTTGAACACTGGGTGCAGGTGTTGGTGGCACCCGGGCGGTTGCAGAAGCCGCAGCGGGAGGCGGCCGTGGTGGAGGGCTTGGGTTTTGGGTGAAGGTGCGGCAGCCGCTCGAGGCCCTGAGTCTGGCCCGCGTACTTCTCCCGCAGAGACGACCCGTGGGCCAGGCTGTCATGGGCAGAGGCCTTGCCAGGGAAGGCGCCTGGCTTGGGGGCTGGGGGACAGGAGAGCAGGCTGTCGCAGCGCTGGCAGAGGGAGGCGCTGCAGGACAGCCCGCAGCTCTGGCACTTGGACAGGGAGGACTCTTTGGCGGGGGGTGAGCGCTTGTGGTAGAGGGGGTGGGCATCATTTCTGACCAGCCACACGTCCGGCCGCAGGGCGTCCTGCCTCCGGTGCGTAGCCCTAGGCTCCGAGTCTGTGTACAGATCCACGTCATCCTGAGCAGAGAAGTATGTGCCACGCAGCAGGCCGAGGCCGTTGTTGGGGGAGGGGGGTGGCAGGTCATCCGGGCTTCCGTGGGGGGCGCTGGACATGGTCAGGAGCAAGGGGGACGGGCGGATGATCTCATCCTTGAGGTCGTCCCCCAAGTCTTGTGCCACGGGCTCCTTCCGCAGGCTCAACGAGGCCTTCAGGGGTGGCTTCCGGCTCTCCCAGTAGCTGTCGTAGGCGTCTACCGACCTCGAGGGCTTGGTCACCCGAGGCTTGTAGTAGTCCTTAGCCGCCCGTTCGCTGGCTGACTTCTGGAGCGCCACACGGGCCATGGAGGCCGTCAGGTGCTCCCGGCCCTCAGCCCGCCGCCGGAGGGCCTCCGAGCAGCCCCGCACATCCTCCGTGCTGCTCTTGCGCTCGTTCACCACGTCCAGCTCGGAGTAGCCCTTGTCCTTGACTTGGGAGTGGATTTCCATCATCTGCTCACACTCCACCTTGGCCAGAAAGAGCTCAAAGGAGACCATCTTCACCTGGAGGGTCTCCACGAGTTCTTTGAGTTTGTACGCAGTCCCTAACTCAGGCACATAGCCCATGTAATGCAGGATGGCTTGGATGTCCTCTTCCAGTAATGACGACTTGACATAATAAACGAAGGGGCCCGTGTAGGTCTAGGAGAAGGAGATAGAAAAAGAGAGGCGCGATTTGCTCTCTGAGACACACACGGAGCCAGCTTCAGAGCCCGGCGCCCCCGCGGCGGAGAGGGAGCGCGGGGAGGAAGGATCTCAGCAGCTCCTCACTGCAGCAGGCCGAGGCTAGCTCAGCACATGGTGTGCGGGAATGTGCGGGAAACCGCGCGGCGCTCCCGCCTGGAGCGGAGGGCACAAAGCCACCAGCTTCCCATATGGGGCTCAGCAGCTCTGCTCCATATGAGGAGGAAACAGGGCGAACGGGGATGGAGAGAAGGGATCAGAGTAGAGGCAGAACGCCCAATGAGCAAGGAGAATATTCCTTTCTGGCATCTCTGAGAAGTTCTGAAGAATAACAGTCTGGCTTTGTGGAAACTCTCCTGAGCCATCACTGCCTTCGGAATGATTCAGAGTTCTCTCTCTCTCTTAAATCCATCCTCCACCCTCCTGTCTGTTACCACTTAGTCCAAACCGGCTCTCAGGTACCCCACCATCCGTGGCGGCCTCCTACCTGTTCTCGCTGCCCCACTAGTCTAGTTCCCATACAACAGCCAGAAGGATGCTTTGCAAGCTTCCCAGCCTACTTAGGGTAAATTCAAGCCCTTTGCCCTGGGCTTCAAGGCCCTGCATCACCAGGGTGCTGCCTACCTGTCCAACCTCACAGCTTCAGGTGGGAGCTGCCAGGGGCAGGGACCCAGTAAAGGATGACACTGATCAGACAGCAAGATAGGGAGCCCCGGGGGTTCCTTCTAGTTGTTACGTCAAAGGAGTGTGGAAGACGGGAGGGTCTGCGGGCAGAGGAGGCATGGAATTGGCACAAGCCCTCTCCAGTCGGCCTGGGAGGGAAAGAAGGGGGACCAGTGCAGACGGCCTTTCCCTAGACCTTACCTTGATGCTTCTGAATTCCTTCTTCCACGGGTAGAGGAAGAGGTTGACGCCCACCGTTTCCAGCATGCTGAAGGCGCAGTGCAAAGCCCGCAGGCTGGAGGAGCTTAGTGAGCGCAGGGAGCTCTCCACCACCTCATAGAACTGGATCAGCCGGAATCGATAAAAGGGATCCACCTTGTGTAGGCTGAGCAGGGTCGAGGCTGCCACCCGAAGGTACTCATCGTTGCCAGGCTGCTGCTTGCTGGGGGTGGTGTCCACTCTGCCCTCATGGAACTGCACGTACTTCCGAAATAAGTCATCCTTATATTTTGTATCCATTGAACTGGGCTTCCCCATCTGATCCAGGGAAGGGGGGGGGCTACCTTATCTCCTCCATGGTTTCTGGGTCCGAGGCAGGGACATCGCTAAAAGCACTGACACGTTGCCCACCTGCACTAGGGGCATGCTCTGGAAGGGGAAGAACAAGAAGCACGTCATTCCTCGAAATGGTCCACATACCAGCGTGTGGCTGCTGAGACAAAACGAGAGACAGAACTGGCCTGAGCTACACCGGGCCTCACCAGCCCTTGGCCCCTTTCTGCTCATTCATTCACCACATTTACTGAACAGGACTATGTGCAAAGTTGTCGTGGAAACGAGATAAACAGATCCCTGACTTTGCTGAACTCACGAATGAAGAATATGATTAGGAGCACCTAACCTGGTTTTGTGGGGAGGAGGAGTTTTAAAAAGTCCCCCCACCCCCACCCAGGGCAGTGGTGGTTAGACTTGAAGAATGAGGAGTTTGCCAGGCAAAGAGGTGGGCAGAGAATGTAACAGCAGAGGTGTCGCCAAGGAGGAAGGCCCCGAGCTAACACTATCGGTGCTCCCCAGGCTCCGGGCACTTATGCACGTGAACGCATTTCATCTTCTTAAACAGCCCTAGGAGATAGGATCCCCATTTTACAGATGTAAAAACTAAGACACAGAAATGTTAAGAAAGTGCACAAAGTTACAGAACCATGAAGAGGCAGAGCTGAGAGCCCAGGGAGCCTGGCTCCAAAGTCCATGCCCTTAACCACCACGCCCTGCTTTTCTGAGGCAGGAAGGAGCTTGGCCTTGGAACAGAAAGAGGGCCAGAGCCGCTGAGGCAGCCAGGGGAAGGGAAGGGAGTGACCAGAGATGAAGCTGCAGGCGCCAACACAACAGGGTCCCGTGCCCCAACGGTACCTTTTACTCAAGGAGGCACGTGAAGCACCCAAAGAGTTCAAAGCAACGAGGGACATGATCATACCACGCCAGCTGCTGACCCCGGGAGAATGTTTTACCTGCCTTTGACAGCCTGCATTCCCCTATTCCTTAAGAGAGGTTTATAGTCCCACTGGGAGAGGACAGAACATTCTGAGCTGCGGTACACCAAATTTATACACTCTTGCTGTCCGCTCGGCCACTGGTTAGTAGGACATGCACAGAGCAAAGCCATGTGGTGGTTGGTGCCACAATGCCGGGAAGAAATCTGGATTCACTGGGGGTACGGTCAGGGCCAGGAGACGCAGCACAGGCATTACCAACAGATCCCAAAGCCAGACTGCCTGGGTGTGAATCTTGGGTCTGCTTCTCTAGGCTACTTGGGTGAATGACTCAGCCTCTGTGCACCTCAGTTTTCTCATCTGAAAATGGGGGCTGATAATAGCACCTACAGTCCAGAACTGGTGGAAGGATTATGTGCCATCAGTATATAAAGCTCTTCACAGAGGACTGGCTCGAAATAAGCCCTTAACACATACGAGCAGCTGCTGCTGCCTTCTGAAGGTGCTATACCCCTGCCACAACGCCACGCATTCTCCAGAAGGTAAGATCAGAGTGGGCAACTATGTCTGCCTAGGAGGCGATGTGCATTTTCAGCCTCACCCCATTCTGACCACAAGCTCCGAGGGCGCAGGGATCCTGACTGAATTCCTCGTTGAGGTAACCTGAGCACAGAGCCAGAGGTGGGGTGTGAGGCAGGTATGTGCTTCACAAGCACCTAAGTGAAGGAGGCTCTCACCGGCTATGGAGACAGCGAGGGACTGAGAAAGAAGCTGCGGGGCGGGACAGCCCTGTGCAGGCCTTTAGCAGATCTGACTTCAGCTCAGGAAGCACCGACGGCCTATAAACCCGGCCGCGATCATGAGGTCAATAAAATCATCCACGTCTCAAGCCACTCGCCGGGCTTCTGCTTTGGGAAGACTCCTGAGGATCTTAGCTATGAGGTGAGGGGTGAGATGTTCGGGAGAAGTAGGGACAGAGAGGCCACCTTCTCCCACCCACCGCCCTGCCAAGGGAGCCTAATGCTTCAGGAACAAATACACTTAAGGAGCACAGGAGGCAAATGTAAGTCCATTAGGATAAAATTCTACCTCCTGACCAAGGTCAAAGGCTTCACATGGTCTCCTCCTACTCCCTTCTCATGGCTGTCTTCCCTTCCCCTCTAAGTCCCACCCACAGGGACCTTTCTGTCTGTTCCTCAAACACACCAAGCTCATTCCTGTCTCAAGACCTTTGCCCATGTTGTTCCTTTTGGGTGTTCTTCCTCTGATCCTTCCCATAGCTGGCTCACTCTCGTGATTCAGGCCTTAGCTCAAATGTCACCCCTCAGAGGCCTCGCTGGCAACCCCAGCATGGTAACTCCCCCCTTCCCAGTCCCTTGTTATCCCATTATCCTGGGATAATCACCATTTGAAATTATTAACTTTATTTATTCATTTACTAATTTCCTCACTTTGTGCCCCCCATTACCCAGTAAGCTCCACAAAGGCAAGGACCACACCTGTTTTGTTCACCATGGTGCCTAACACACAGCCTGGCACACAGTAGGTGTTTGATAAAACAGGCAAAATGAATGATGCATTCATGATGCCACTCCTTCAGTTTCTCCTTGAGCTCTGCCAAGAATCCTGAGATCAGCTGGAGAGAGAAGGAACAGAGGCTCCATGACATGACATGCTGTAAGTAGCCAGGGTTAGTAAACCCAAGATTCCAAACCTGACTTTCTGTGGCACCTGTGTTCCTCCCCATACCCCATGATTCCTAAGTTCAACAAGTATTTATGCAGCACCTATCTCATGCCAGGCCCTAGGGTGGGTGCAGTGGGGGGATATGGGGTGGGTAGGGAGTGGGTAGGGGGCAGCAGCTGGGAAGTCACAATGCTGCCCTCAATTCTAGTTGAAAGAAGTTATTATCAAAGTATGTATTGCAACCTGAGAGAAGACATCATTGTCCTTGCTAATAAAAACCCTTATGTATTTACAGTTTTTTATTCATCTGAGAGAAACTTCCATCCTGCCCTGGTCCCAGGGACTATTTTTTGGTACATCTGAGAAGAATTTAAACAGAGGGGCATCAAGCCTCCTAAATACTGCTGTGATTTTTCTCCAAGGAAGTCAGCTTTGAGCCTATAGAGGCTGATTTTTTTTTTTTTTTTAACAAAGTCAGCCACCCTCAAGCTCAGTGTCTGCTGCTCTGTAATCACACCACAGTCCACACCCTTGTTTGTTGCTGGCACACAATAAACAAGGAAAGGGGATCCAAATAGCCCAACTGGTGCTCCAAGTCCTAAAGTCAAGGATAGGAAACCAGTCTATGATGACCCTTGAACCAACACACGTAGGTGAGGAAAAAGGTAAAAGGAAATGAATGCTAAGAGATAATTAAGGAAAGAGAGAAGAGAACGAATAATCACTGAGGTCCTACTACGCACTAAGCACAGGGCCTTCCGCTTTAACTGCATCATCCCATTTAATCCTCATGACAACGCTAGAAGGAAACCAAGGTTCAGCCATGAAACCACCTGCCCAGCGGGAGCTCCTCTGCCCAGTCAGAGCTGGAATTTGAACTTGGGATAGGCCCTGCAGCCTGGGTTTTTTCCCGTTTATCTCATTCATTTATTGCTACAATCTCCCATTCACCGAGGGATTTGTACATGAGGGCTCTCTGCTAAGGGCTTGATGAAAATCAATGAAACCCACAGGACAGCCCCAAGGTTAAAGAGGAAACTGAGGCTCAATGAGGCCAAATCATTTGTCCTGAGTTACAGGGAAGGAAGAGTGGATCTGAGGTCCGAACCTAGGTCCGATGCCGAAACCTTGACTCAAGCTCTGAACTGCGATGCTTCTAGGCAAAGCTGTCCTGCGGCATCTGCTGGACAGCTCTACTTGAAAGGGCTAGCCTAAGTTAGAACATCCTATGGCAGGGTGAGCAGAGTTGAGTTCTAAAAATTCCTGTAGTAGCAAAATTCACATCTTCCCACACAGAATGGGGCTGGAAGAGCCACAAATCTCTTTATGATGTAAGCTCAGGGGCCAAGGGAAGAGGCTGGCCAGAGACCGGCCAGTGGTGAGGCAGCTGACATCATCCCTCCTGAATACATTTTCTGAGAATACAGGCTGCATTGTAGCTGGTCATAGCTGGTGTCTTTTCTGAGCATAGAGCCAGCAATTTATTCCCAGCACTCTGCAAGAACAACAAAAAAACACGCTCTCTGCAAAAACAGCGTGGTTACAGGAGACTAGACAGCGCAATGACAGAAGCCGTTAATTTCTCCAAGCAACCCAAGGATTGGAACACCATGACGTGCCAGTCTGGTGGGGGAAAAATGGCACTGTGAACATCCCTAACAGCGTCAGGCGGGTGCCCAGAGCCAACAGGCCTGGTCAGCACTTCCTGCACCCACAATCTGGACTCCCTTTGAAAAACAAGTCGATGAAGAGAGATATTATATATACAGTCAGGGAGGTGGTGGCTTTTTAAGGATTATTCTCTTTCTAAAGATTATTTTTTAAGCATCTCAAAAGAAAGCTGTATCTGTTTAAAACCCCACTGAAAGGAACTGAAATGATTTGGGAGTAGCAAAGCATTAGCTTGGCTTTACCTCAGCTGGCCCATTCAAGCAGAAACAGTCCCCAAGCAGCATTTGAAGGCGCCCCTCCCTGCACAGGCAGAAGCTATTTTGGTCCCAGCATTGCCCCAGTCCACAGGTTTACAGATCTCTGGTCTAGCTTCAGCCAGCTCAGAGTTCCCTCAGCCTCCAAACAGCAGCAAGAGGAGAGCAAGCAGTTCAACCCCCTCCACCTCCACACCCGCCACTCCTTTGCACTCATTCCAAATCCGAGGTTCCTGAGACACATCCAAGGCACCTTGCACTGGCTGTGAAACACCACAGGGTCCCCAGACCCCAATCAGATTCCAGAGAAATTCAGAGAGAGGCCTTGCAAACCTCTGAATATAACCTCAGTGGTGCTGAAAACGGGTTTCCTTACTGGCAGCTGCTCTCAGAGGGGCTCTGAAGGAAGCAGTTTCCCCTCCCCGCCGGGGACAGAAGCTGGCGGCTGCTATTCCCAACCTGCTCATTCCTACGGCCTCTGAGGGCCATATCAATTGTGAAAAACATCCCAGTCCCAAACTCTGGCCCTTTCCGGGTTTGTGAATGAATTAACAGCAGCTATCATTTACTGGACGCCTGCTGTATGCCAGAGACAGCGCTTCACAAGCATCATCTCATTTCATCCCCACCACGGCCCTAGCAGGCACGTTCACTCCCATTTAACTAATTGGGCAAATGAGGCTCAGAAGATGAAATGACTTGTCCAAGGTCACACAGTGAGTACAAACCCAGGTCTGCTGCCAGAGACTGGGCTGGGGACCACTGCGCGGTAACTGCCTCACGGTGGAGTCGGGGTGGCCTCCTGCTTGGTTAGTCGCCGAAGGCGGGGTGTTCCTCCTGAGCTGCCCGGAGCCACCCCTGGCCGGTCCCAGGAGTCTGCAAGGCAGCCCTCGGGGGAGTGGGGATCCTGAGGACGAGCTGGGCCCTCGGGATGCCGAAAAGGCGTGGCCGCCCGTCGCCCCCGCCGGCTGCGAGGGGACCCCACTCCCGGGTCGGCCAAGCCCCGCTGAGTCGGGCGCCCCCTCTGCCCTGGGAAGCACCGGACGCCGTTTCCGCCCGCGGCCGCCCCGCACTCACCCCGGCACTGCCTCCGAGGACGCCCCGGCCGAGAGAATCCAGAAGGAGCCCCGGCCGCCCCCCGAGCCGTGCCCGACTGGGCTCTCGTCGCTTCGGCCGGCTGCAGGGGACCGAAGCCAGTAACCCGGGACAGGCGGCGACCCGGAAACACTTGGCTAGGAAGTGACGTCCTTCGGAGGCGGGTCCAGAGAGAGGCCGGGCCGCGGCTGCGCGTTGGGCCGGGGAGAGGCGGATGGTCGTGGGCGGCGGAGGAAGAAGCGGGAGGCCGAAGAATGAGCGGAGGAGTCGCGGAATCCGGCTCTGGGACATGGCGGGCCGCCGCCGCAACTGGGGCTAGACCCGGAAACAAACGGACCGGACGTGACGCACGCCAGCCCCAGGATGGTGGCTGGCCGGGTTGTCATGGGAACCGGTCTGGAGCCGGGCGGCGGAGGCTGGGACTGTGAGTGCAGACTGAGTGATCCCCGGCCTCCGCCTCCCGGACTTGTCCCTTGTCCAGATGATCCGCGAGCGGCGCTCCCAGCGGCGCCTGAGCAGGAGCTAACAGTTGGAGCCCTCGCTCCATTTTACAGGCGCAAATGCCGAGGCTTAAAGAGAGCAAGTGAGATCCCCAGCATCATGCGAGATGGAATCTAGCCTTGTGAGGACTGTTGATGTTACTCGCTGTCTTTTAAGAACGGGGCTCCCAGCTTTGCCTTTGCCACTTACTGTGTGGCAAGGTCACTGCGTGACCTTGGGCAAGTTACCTAACCTCTCTGAGCCTCAGCTTTTTCACTTGTAAAATGGAATACTGGTAATACTGCCTGCTCAGATCCATGTGAGAATTAAGTGAGTTAATACATGGAAAATGCTTATTACACTAATTGGCATATAGTAAAGATCTAAATATGTTTTGTTTTTAAAACCTGGTTAAGTCAGAGGAGACGACCTGTCTCTGCCCTCAACTTCCCTAAATGGAAGCCAGCGTTGAGGAAGACCAAGCCAAAATATTGCCTCCTTGTTTTGTGACTTTTCACCAGACATCTGGAGTTACCTTCATGGTCTACACTGGCATCAGTCATGGAGGCTTGTCACCTCACTTCATGGATTTGTCTATACTCCCACCAAACCGTGAGCTCACTGGGGCTCAGCTTTTGTGGTTCACCACTCATTGAATTCTTACTGATTATAAAGTGCCTAACACATACCCAAGACTTTCTCTGGCATATTTGTGATTGGGTCATCATTCTCTCTCTCTCTCTCTCTCTCTCTCTCTCTCTCTCTCTCTCTAACTTACCCTAGACATTTATTGAAGACTCAGAGTGGGGCACCTGGGTGGCTCAGTCAGTTAAGCACAGGACTCTTGATTTCACCTCAGGTCCTGATCTCAGAGTCGTGAGATGGAGCCCTGCAGGAAGCTCTGTGCTCAACCCGGAATCTGTTTGGGATTCTCTCTCTCCCTCTCCCTCTGCCCAGCTCTTGGGTGCTCTCTCTCTCTCTCTCTCTCTCTCTTCCTCTCTAATAAGATCTTTAATTAAAAAAAAGACTCAGAGCCCACTCCATGCCATGTTCTCTTCCTCCAACATGCTCTCCTACCCTTCTGGCCTCTGTGCCTCTATATGCTCTTCCCTCACTGTAAATGTTTACCCCCCCTCACCTCTTCCTTTCCGTGTGCGCGCGCATGCACATATTCATTCATTTTAAGCCTGACACCCCCCAAGACCTGGAACTCCTTACTCATCTGTCTCATCTGTGTTTCCCCTGAGCTCTGCACATGTCTGATCAGGATGTGCCCAACAGATGTTCCTTGATTGCATGATTCTCTCTCTCAGCCTTAGTGTCCCCAGTTACAGCCTGCAGGTCTTGTCTCAGAGGAGTCAGTGACATAATACACAGGGAAGCATTTGGAGAACCAGTAACATGCTATTCAAACTGCAGTGATAACTATATATGTTGCTATTTGAGCATCACTCAAAGCATACACTTTGTGTACTTCATCCTTTATCAGCGCAGGTTTAAGCTCCTCTCTTAATCATCTGCAAATTGATGATGTTTATAGGAATTTCAGCTGCGAAAAACTGTCCCACAGAACTCTCTGCCTTGGCAACGACTCAAAACTGTCCTTTGGAAATTGTTACAAGACTGCGTGAGACTGTTAAGAAGCCCCTTACAGGGGCGCCTGGGTGGCTCAGTCGTTAAGCGTCTGCCTTCGGCTCAGGTCATGATCCCAGGGTCCTGGGATGGAGCCCCGCATCGGGCTCCCCGCTCCGTGGGAAGCCTGCTTCTCCCTCTCCCACTCCCCCTGCTTGTGTCCCCTCTCTCGCTGTGTCTCTCTCTGTCAAATAAATAAAATCTTTAAAAAAAAAAAAAAAAGAAGAAGCCCCTTACAGCTCTGTGGTTCTGCGGCAGCCAAAAGGGAAATAGATTTTTAAGGAGGCTTTACTAGTAAGAAATACTGGTCACTGAGATGCGGTGACGTTATATACCAGAGAGGGCCCAAAGTCTCTGTAGAGAGCCATGTTTCTCATCTTTTAGACAGAGTTGAAGACCTGAGATTTCTCTGCTTCATGATGTGGAATTATAGAAGCATCCTTTTCAGATTTCATTACATAATGATTAGCAGATTATGTAACAGTCATGTGACAATGATTAGGCACCTCTACTTCCTAGGAGCCAACAACACAAAAAAATCTACCTCCTTTCTTTTTTTTACTTTTTTATCACAAAAATAATGCATGAATTCCAATGATACAGATGTGTTTAGAACAAAAAATGAAAAAAGCAACTCTCTGACCCAGCAATTTGATTTCTTGGAATCTACCGGATAAACAAGCATAACTACACAGACAGAACTGTTGCATCCTTGTTTATAATGCAAAAGCAAAAACCAAAAAACATTCTAAATGTCCAACAATAGGGAAATGAAGTATCCATACTCATGACTACTACATATCATTTTAAAAAGATGATGTAAAACTATTTAACTCTGTGAGACATATTGTGGGATGAAAACAGAAAGACATCCCCTGAAATGGAAAACAAAACATCAACCAATACTATATATTTTCTAAAGGTATGTGTATATGTATAAAGTCAACAGGGGACAATAGTGCAAATACATATCATTTGTTTTTTAAATCATCCCATCAATACATATGTGATTTTTATTAATATCTTTTCCCCCAATAATCAATAAGCTCTGGGAGGACATAACAGTATCTGTTTTGCTCACAATTATATCAGCACTATCTGCCATATATACACTACCCCACATAAAATAGGAGTTTCAACAGTATTTGTTTCTGATGGAAATTGTCACTGAATGCCAGGTTTGATGTTAATATTTAATGGACATACTATGAGCAAGATGAATACAGCCCCTGCCCTCAAGGAGTGTATAGTCTCCTTATCAGAAAGAGAATATTAATAAGAGTAGATGAACTAAAAACCTATAATTCAGGATAGAAGGTGGTAAATGTTAGAAGGGTGTAGAGCTTAGAGAATGGAGAAGTGACGGCCGATAGGGCAAACTGGGAACAGCCTCGAGGAGGTGGCATTTGAGGCGGACTTTGAGTGAGTTGGACATATAAGGATGTCCAGCTTTCCTTGCAGCTAGAGAGAAGAAAACAATCAAAAGCAAGGACCAGAAATTAAAACTCCACTGCCTACAAGTATATAAGGTGGGCATAACTAGGTACTAGAGTACTACCATCTCATAATATATCATACCAGATATTAGTAGTAATGTTATCTAGCATAGTACCTGGCTCACAGTAGGCATTCAATATATACTTTAGTGAGGACACCAATATTATTAAAACTTTACTATGTTCCATCTGATTCTTGCCAAATTCCCTGCTGATCATGATCAGATATTCATATTTCTAAAGAGGAAGGAAGTCCCAATTTTTAAGTGAAATTCCTCAATTGTAAACACCATGTGTAAATATACTTCCTAGTTCTGTCTGCTAAGAGAGCCTACAAAAAAATGACACCCCTCTGACAATAAGCACCTAGCACCCAGATCTTGCTTTCTAACTACCATCCTCCACTAAAAAAACCCCAAAGCTTCTTGGAGAAATGACTGATTCTCGGGGTTGGGGCAGGGAAATTACAACATGAGCCTGGACCATCTTATTGAGCCAGAAAGTAAGGATATGCCAAAAGAATGGTGGGACATATCAAGAGGACGCAAAAGCCAAATTGGAGGGGTTCCTATTGTCTAAATTTGGAACAATTTGAACATCAAAATAAGTAATAAGTAATGATAGTAATGAATTATAATACTTGGGGTGGGAAAGGAAGAAACCATAACAGGTTTCTAAACTTAACATAACATAACATAACAACAGGAAATACTGTGTTTGCCAGAGGAACATGTCCAAGGACTATATGTGGCCCCAGGTGCCAGGTCTGACCCCTGCACTAAGGATGGATGAGAAGCAACATGTAGTTTGTCTGGTTAGAGAGATGACTGCACAAGGTGAGCTGAGTATGGGGTGATGGGAGATCTGCCCAGTCTCTGAGGACCTTGCAAGTCAGGCGAAGAATCTGGATTTGACTCTGTAAGCACCTAAGAACCAGTGAAGGTCTGTGAGCAGGATGAATGGTGATTAAAACCCTTGCTCTCTAGGCCAGGTGTCTGGTGCTTGGTAGATAAGGATGTGGTACACAAGAAATCAGCGTGTAAGGCCCCAAGAAACACGGCATATTGGAACAGAAATGACTCTGCAGGCAGTACACCTGGGTTCAAGTCCCTGGTACTGCATTTCATGGCCCCACGAGTTGGACAAGCCACTCAATCTCTCTTAGCCCCTCTACAAAGCTGGACTCTGGAACCAGAAGGCCTAGATTTGACTTTGCTGCTTCCTGCGTATGACTTTGGACAAAATGACTTCACTTCTCTGTGCCTCAGTTTCTTCATCTTTGAAATGAGAAACAACAACGGTACCTACTTCCAGACAGGTTATGAGATAGTCCATGTAAGCACTTGACATAGTGAGTGCTCATTAAGCATTATCTATACCAAGTCTTTTTTATTAAGTGGGGTAATGCATGGGAAGAACTTCACGCTGGGAAGTTCCAGTACCTCAAAGGGAGTAAGCCTGCAAGTAATGTTATCCATGATTAAGGTTGTTGCTGTGCAACATGAATTTGCTGGGGGCTAAGAATTCCA